GACTATCACTTTATTCTGACTGTTCATCACTCATTATATGATGGGTGGTCTCTACCTTTGCTGCTTCGCCAGGTCCGTTCTATATATGAAAACGGCATTTGCCCCGATATCCCAGGTTTTAACCTATTCATCAAATATCTACAGAATACCAATCTCAAGTCCACCAAAACTTTCTGGGAGGCCCAGCTGGCTGGTCAGCGCCCAGCTACTTTCCCAATGATTACTGTTCCAGGTTATCGCCCGGCTGTTCAACACATAGTGAAGCATAGGCTCGCCTTGCCAAAGCTGGTTAACTCGGAATTCCTCAAAAGCACTATACTCCGTGCCGCATGGGCGTTCGTTCTCTCTGTATACTCGGACTCCCAGGATGTAGTGTTTGGAATGACTCTTTCTGGAAGAAATAGCCCTGTCGCAGGCATCGAAAAGATAATCGGACCAATCATTACAACAGTTCCTGTACGGATTGTGCTGAACCCCACTGAAACTCTCAGTGAGTTCCTTAGCCATGTCCAACAACAGGCCACAGAAATGATACCCCATGAGCATTTTGGAGTACAGAATATATCGATGCTGAGTGCAGAGTGCAGCCATGCCACTCAATTCCAAAATTTGCTCGTAATACAACCTATCTCGGAAACTACATCTACTGATGCTCTGCTTCCAGGATGTAATGAAGTTGATTTACCACTGAAATGTTTTGACAGCTACCCCCTTGTGGTAGAATGCCACGTTTCAGACGATACAGTTCAAATTGAGGCAAGATATGATAGATGTTTGCTCTCCTGTTGGCAGGTCGAGAATATGATGAGCCATCTCGGCCAACTCTCGAAAATATTCGCAGATAATTCCAATTATCATCTTCAAATAATGGAGATAGTCATGTTTGGCGAAAGAGACAGGCAACAAGTACTGGAGTGGAACCGGATCTATCCTGAGACAGTTGAATCGACAGTACCTCTAGTTTTCGCGCAACAGGTTAAAGAGCGGCCATCTAATATAGCAATTGACGCATGGGATGGACAACTCACTTATTCAGAACTCAATGACGTTTCAGATGTGCTTGCACAGCATCTTACATACCTAGGGGTGGTACCTGAGCTATTAGTCCCCCTCTGCTTCGACAAATCCCTCTGGGCTGTGGTGGCACAGATGGCCGTGATGAAAGCTGGCGGAGCTTGTGTGAACCTCGACCCTAGCCATCCCCAGGGCCGCCTTGAGACAATCGTCAAAGATTCTCAGACAAGTGTCATTCTCTGTGCCCCTCATTATTCTGGGATACTAGGGTCATCTACTCCTCAGAATGAAGTTGTGGTGACAGAGGACCTCATACACAAGTTAGCTGGCTCTCCTGACTCCAGCATAGAGCCATCTCCCCCCAGCCCTGCAAATGCAGCGTATGTACTTTTCACATCGGGCAGTACTGGTAAACCTAAGGGAATTGTTATTGAGCACCGCTCGCTATGTTCTAGCTCTAAAGCCCACGGCATTCGCTGGGGGATTGGGGCTGAGACCCGGGTGCTGCAGTTTGCCGCATATACATTCGATGTAAGCTGTGCGGATATATTTACAACATTACAACGCGGCGGCTGTATCTGCATTCCTTCTGAGCATGACCGTCTGAATGCGCTTCCAGACGCTATCAACCGATTCCGGTGCGACTGGGCTTTCTTAACACCTACAGTGGCGAGCTTGCTTCCTCCAGACTCCGTCCCGTCCTTAAAGAGGCTGGTTCTAGGAGGAGAAGCATCAACATGGGAAATTATCAATAGATGGTACAATATCCTTGAGCTCATTGTGTGTTATGGTCCTGCAGAGTGTTCTATATACTGCTCTGGAGCACCTCCTGCGACAGCTACCAGCGACCCAGCTAATCTAGGAAGCGCCATCGGGGCGCTCTATTGGGTTGCTAATCCGAATGATCATAATCAACTCACTCCACTTGGTTGCGTGGGCGAACTCCTGCTTGAGGGTCCTACTATTGCTAGAGGGTATCTTCACGATATAGAAAGGACAGAACAGGCCTTTGTGAGCAACCCTTCTTGGGCTCCACCTTTTACTCCAGGTGCTTCTCGCCGCTTCTACCGTACAGGTGATCTTGTTCGCTATAATAGTGACGGAACTATTCGATTTTTTGGCCGAAAAGATACCCAGGTTAAAGTTCGGGGGCAGCGCGTGGAGCTAGGGGAGATAGAGCATGCCATATCTACATCTATGAATAGCATTACTCATGCCACAGTCGATTCCATCCTGGATGCAACCACAGGTCGACAAACGGTAGTTGCTTTCCTGCATTTTAACAATGCTAGCGGTCGCGCTGAGATCATGGAGATGACAGAAGACCTCCGTCACCGGTTGATAGAACTCCGGAAGGCCCTTCGGGAATCGCTGCCTTCATATATGATTCCATCCCTTTATCTACCTTTGGCGCGAGTCCCCCTTACAATGAACGGAAAGGTAGACCGGCGACAGCTACGTGGACTTGTCAACTCCTTGACAACTGCTGATATTGCCAACTTTTCCCTAATAGGAGACACTTCCCATGTGCAACCTACTACGGAGGAAGAGTTCAAACTCCGCGAACTTTGGTCTAGGGCTCTTCATGTAGAGGTTGATACGATAGGAGCTACTGACCATTTTATCCACTCCGGCGGAGACTCGATTGTTGCAATGAGATTGACAAGCCTAGCTCGAGCTGAAGGAATATCCTTAACAGTACAGCAAATATTTGAGACCCCTATTCTATCAGACATGGCTTCTCTGATTATGGTTTATCCGTCAAGCCGTGACATTAAACACCCTGTCGATACGATATATGAGCAGTTCTCATTGCTTCCGGGGCCACCAGAGGAAGATATGCTCTCGATAGTCGCTGAAGATGTCAAAACTAGCGTTAATAATATTGCAGATATTTTACCAGCAACTGATTTCCAGTCGTCTGCCATTGCACATTCCATGCTGAAGACGAGAGGGCTTCTCAACTACATTTACCTTGAGGGAAAAGGAGAGATACCTTGGAATCAAGACATCATCCAAGAGAAATGGTTCGACTTTACTAGCAAACACCAGATCCTACGAACGGTCTTCGTCTTTTATCAAAGCAAACTTTACCAGATTATCCTAAAGCAGGTCTTGGAAGGCATTTCCTGGCATAGAACTGATGATGATATCGATTCTTTCTGCCGCGATTTATATCAGAGAGACATTCAGTCTGACCGTGACCTTAGCGATCCACTGACTAAATTGATGGTGGTCGGAAATAATGAACGGCATCGACTTATTCTTCGTTTATCCCATGCTCAATATGACGGGATAAGCTTGCCCCTGATTTGGCAGAGTCTACAAACGGCTTTTTCAGGCAAGACATGCCCCCCAGAGATCCCCTTCGCAAACTATATATCAACCATTATCTCTCAGCAAGAAGTCACAAACTCCATGGCATACTGGAAAGCCCTACTGGCAGATTCTAAAATGACAAATGTGGTAGAACAGTCCAGACCATATTATCAAAATACCTACGACTTGCACACAAGGCGATCTATCACCATTCCCTCTCAGCTGTCGTTGTCGAATCAAGGAATTACCTTCGCAACCGCCCTCAAGGCCGCATGGGCAATCTTTCTCGCCTCTCTCTCGGAAACGACAGATATCATTTTCGGCCATGTAACCTCCGGTCGCACCGTCCCAGGAAACGGCATCGAGCGAGTAATCGGTCCGTGTCTCAACATTATTCCAGTGAGGGCTCAGATGGACACTACTACCACTGCATTGGATCTTCTACAGCAGCTACAATCCCAGCACGTCGCCAGTATGGCCCACGAAACTACTGGGATGCGAGATATCGTTCGTCACTGCAGCCCGTGGAAGCCGTACACGCGGTTCAGCACCATAGTCCAGCACCAAAATATCGATGAAACTGCTACGGTTCTGCTGGATGACCAGGAGTACACAGTTGGTGATTTCTGTCCAGCAGCAGACGAGTCAGATATTGCTATCAAGACGACCCCCCGAAGCGGAAATGAAGTTGAGGTTCTTCTCATTTCGTCATCGCTATCAGTCGGAGAGCTCGCAGCGGACAGAATATCATCCATTCTTTGCGATACAATCCACAGGCTCTATACTTCCGAGGCTACTGACCTCCTCGTTACTGAATTGATAGCCCATGGACAATCTCTTCCGCCGTTGAGCAAGTGTTGTACAGGTACAAGTCAATACACAACTTTACAGAGCAGCTTTCAGTCAAGGTCTGATGAGATGTTACTGACCATCCAAACTGACTGGAGATCTGCGCTGGAACGGCCAGACTTACTGATAGATTGGGATTCGGACTTCTTTGACGCCGGAGGTGATTTGGTTTCTGTTATATTGCTGGCTACAACATGGAATCGGCAGAGCTATAAAGTTACCCCAGAACAGCTGTTGTTCAACTCGCGAGCCTCGGAGATGGCGCAAGTACTTTTTCAGTCAGACTGAGAACGGGGATACTACTGCTTCCATCTACCGATAATACGACATGGTCCTACAGATAACACTCTTTGTTCTTATGTGCGTTTAATTACCCTTTAATAGATAGGTCGTAGGCCAACCGCTCAAAATGAATTTGGACGATCTTGTACTTCATAGCACCCACAATAAATGATTTTGCTTCTTATTTTCCAGCGCAGGAGATCTAACTATAGGGGTATTAGTTAAAGGGACCTCGATATGCATAAAATAGGCTAATTTTATGACTTCTATCTAGGCTAATTCTCACAGGTAGGATAGATTATCCTTAGTATATGGTCATCCTCCAAATAACTGCATTAAATTACGGCACAATAATAGTATTCCGAACCTGCAATTTTCCCCTGGTCTTGGGATGGATTCACCCAACCAGGGCAGTCAGTTTGATTGCACAGGGGGTTTTATCTTTTCTTATATTCTATATTATTCTCTTTTGTCTACTTTTACTTGTCTCTATATGCCATTAGTTTACTCTGCCTCTTAGCTTGACGGATAGCAAGATGAGCAAATCTCTAGAAGACAGTGAGCATCTAGAGGTCTCTCCAGCATGCCATCCATTAGCCGTTGGAAATCCAGGTGACGCACGACCATCCCCCGAACAAATTTCGACTGTTGTCTCCATCCTGATAGAAGCTGGCATCTGCTGTTGTTTCGTTGAAGAGTATGCTCTTATTTACTTTGGTGCTTCGCGTTTGCCCAATGTAGGTGGTGTCAACTCATAATTTATGCCCCAAGGCCGATACTTAACTTGCCTTTTTAATATTAGGACCGAGTGTTGTGTATTCCCGATGAGCATCATGAACATGCTGTCAGGCTTTTCAAGTCACATAGTGACATCCTGGAGCCTTGTGGGCCACTTCCACTGAGAGCGCCAGGTTCACTCAACCACAAATACCCTCGATTCAAAGCCATTGGAAGGACCGACTTCTGGCTGCTGTTGCCGGCAAGCTACTGTCACATTGTCTGCATTCCTGAAAACTTAGAGTGGAGCAAAGGTCAGTATCTGTATACATGGGTCGAAGGATCCCCGTGTGCATTATCGATACGGGATGTAAGGAATGGAAATCGAAAGAACTGTTCTACAGCTTAACGGTGTGCATTTCTCTTGTCTATCTGCCTATGCCAATGATAAATAACCCAGATGAAGTAGATAGTTAGCTGACTGCTCACTGGGCAGTTAATTAACTATCTGCCCACCGCTTCGGGGTCAACATCATCACCATCACAGTTCAAAAGCTACACTAAAAGCCTTCTTAAGCTCATTAGTTAATTATATAATTTAACAATATAGCTCACTTAGGTAACTCATCAGTCACATAAAGCTACAGGCTACAGCTCATCTGACCCCTGCGCTTAACTCGGCTAAGCGAAACTTTAAAAAGTTACGTAAGATCTTCTGTAATATAGCTAAGGTGACCTAACCCAATAAATTACACTTGTAATAAAGGTATGATCTTTTACAATATTTCTAACCCTAACCCGTACTATTAGTTATTAACTAGTTATTAACTAGTTAGTAGCTAGTCCTAGATTAGTTATAAAGTACTCTCTAACCCTTATTAAATATACTCCCTAGTCCCCTAATCTAAACCCTTACCCCCTAACCTGACCCCCTAATCCTAATACACCTCTATTACAAGTCTGTAATTTAAGATCTTACGTAACTTTTTAAAGTTTCGCCCAGCCGAGTTAAGCGCAGGGGTCAGATGATCTGTAGCTCTCCTCTCAGTTCACCATCTCTTGTTCGTCCTTTCCAAGGTTGGTTACGGATTTCTCACTTTCTACTCCCAGGATGAAATCGAGCGCCCTCCCTCAACTTCAACCAAGACGCGACAGTTGTTCGAGCTTGACTTCCCACAGTCCGATGTCAATCTACAGAGCCTTTGCCATCCAACCAGCTGATTTCAGTCGGCCTCTTGAGTCCGGTGCTTGTCGTTAACCATGGATACAACCCGGGGCGTGCATATTCTGGAGGCAGAATTCTTCAGCGACGCGCGGGTTGAGTTGCTGCGTGAACTTGACAGCCTTTTTAACGAACGGCCTGTTTCAAGAGAGCTGTGGGCTTTCTTATGGCTAGCGGACCTTGATAAGCTGAAAGAACTCGTTGCAAAGGTACGAGACGACGACGCTAGGGATCAGTACATTATCCTGGATGCGCTTGTAAGGCAAGGGCAGATGGTGAAATACTGTGAGTTCTTCGCTTCCTCCTGAAGAGTTGACCTTCATGCGCAGGGGGGAAAGTATTTACTGACAGTTGCCGCGTATAGGGACCCAGAAAAGCCAGCAGTCCTCTGCAGCATCAACTCCCCGCTCATCTTCGCCTGCCCCTGCCCAGTCCCCAAAAAGCACTCCTAATAGCCCGAATCCACGCAGGCTTAAACGCAAGTTAGGAGAGATTACTAGATCATCAGACGAAGCTGAAAAGGTTAGCATCTTACCTGGGTAGTTATCTATTTCTGCTATACTTACGAGAATCTTTATAGTGCCGCGAACGCGATAGCAAGAAGTGCATCATTACCGGCGCCGGTAGACCAATAGAGGTGGCCCACATCTTCCCATTCTCAATGCGATATGCCCAATCACCCGAGGCAAGCAACGACATTTATAGCCCCTGGAGGGTTTTAAGGCGTTTCTGGACCGAGGATAAGGTCGACGAATGGTTTCGAGCCATCCAACCCACTACTGAGACTGTGACGAATATGCTCTGCCTTGCACCCCATGTCCACAAATATCACGAGAAGGCCTATTTTGCTTTGAAGCCAGTTGAGGTCAGCGAAGACAGGACTCAACTCAAGCTTCGCCTTTACTGGCTGCCTCGTGTCGACACCCCGTCAGCTATGCGAGTCTCAGCAAAACCCGACGTTCCAGCGATTAATGACCGCAGATGGGTTGGAGAGCGCGGGGCCCAAGCGGTCGATAAGGTCAAGCTGTACAATGTGGACACTGATCTAAGGATTTGTAGTGGTGATCTCATTGTGATCAAAACCGCCAACGCGGATACTCATCCGCTGCCAGATTTGGCGCTTCTTCAAATGCAATGGGTGCTTCAGGCGGTAACAGCCCTGGCCGGCGGAGCGGAGCCGCTTGACCAAGAAGACAACTCCGATGATGAATCCCCAGATTTGGCCATGGACGTCTATGCTAGTGAGGATGAAACTATGTCGGAACTATCACTCTCACCCCACCCGCCTCTAGGTGTTCTTGATACCCAGCTCCAGCCTACCCTCATAACCTCTTAATAGCCTTGTATTTTATTTCCTGTTGCTGCGTGTCTTTTACCTTGGTGTATGCGGGATATATGAGTTTCTTCGTCGGGTCATGGTCTGGGAAGAAACCTGTACTTATCCCCCCAAACATCTTCAGAAAACTGCTTCCTTGTTATTCTGTATACTAGTAGCCCTGGGCAGGTTCATGATTATTGAATCCAAGTTCAAATACGGTAAAAGATTCTATGGTCAGCATAACTTGAAACGGGAGGGCCCCGAGCTACGAGAGGAACCGCTCATAATTTCAATTTTTCATTTCATCGACGATTAGCGCAGGCGGGTTTGGATCTACGAGGATACCCAGGATACACTAGAGTCTTTAATATTTCTTGTTTTTGTACACGATATAAATGATACTCTTATTTGGTTCCTTTCCCCTTTGCTTCTGTCTCGCCGAGTTCTCTAACCATCACTTTGACGCTGCCCTCGGGAACATCGTCCTTCTCGTCCTCGAATCCAGGGCTGATCCCAACCAAAAGGTATTTCCCGTTAGAGCTAAAGTCCAATGCAGCCACACTGGAAGGATATTTGGGGTACTGCCGTATCCTCCTCTTCGCAATCCCGTCCCACAGGGCAACCACTCCGTCACCACCTCCAGAGGCAAAAGTGCCGAATACAGGGTGAAAGGCGAGGGCGTTGACGGGGTAGACAACATCGACGCCGTCAACGTGCTGCCGATGGCATTTAAACGCATATTTTCGATCTTGAGACTCGTCGGAAGGATCAAACCACTCTACCGCTACTCGCCCTTCTATACTTGATGAGGCGTAGCCAGCGTCATCAGGCATACAGGCCACCGCCCGGGTCATGAACTTGAGACTGCTCTCGCGGCGCTGCCAGGGCTCTAGCTCGAGGGTGTGAGCTGGTGGCTGGCCGCCGGACTGCTCCAGGAATAGCACCAGAGACTTGAGGTCGTAGATGTGTAGCGTTCTCGAAGCCATGGCAACGACAAGTTTGGTAGGGGTAACGGAGAGGGAGAAGGGTTTTGAGGGCAGTGGGATAGTCGCGGGCGAAGCACTCCCGTCTGTCTTGTGGATGTGCAGTGTCATGTCCCACGACGCCGAGACGACCAGGCCATGCTCTCTACTGTAGACCACCGACTTCACGCCCTGACTGTGTGAGCTCAGCACCGTCTGGGTCGAGGTCTGTATATCGATCCTGTAAATAACCGCACGCAAACCGTCAGCGCATCCACACTACATGCAAAAGAAATTCATAGTTTCTTTGAGCTCACTGACTTTTTGACATCCCAGTCCAGCCCGGCAGTGTATAGTTCGTCTTCATTCTGGCCAAAACAGACATCTAGCACCGGCGCGCGATGTTCAAACTTTTGTATGAGTTTCCCCTCGCCAATAGCGCCGTTCTCGTCTCTGAGGTCATACAGATATACGTTCTTGTCCCATGACGACACCACAAAGCGCGTCGACTCTGGCTCGGGGGAGAATTGGACGGCCGATATCACGTCCGAGGGCGGGTTCGCAACGGCGAAATGGTCTAGAAAGCCCTGTTCAGTACACGGTCAATCGGCAAGCGGTGGGCAACACTTACTAGAAGCCATCTGTAGACACTTATTCGCGTATATAAACGATTACCCGGTCACCTTCAACCTTTCAGCGTCTCTCAAAGTCTTTCAATGTCTGTTCGGCTTCTTCGACTTTCATTTCGACTTTTGGAAGCTTCAAAAAGACGGCGGATTCTGCCGCCCCTCACCGCCTTTTTTCTTTTTCTCGACTTTTTGATAAGACAAAAAAGCAAAACATCTTGACGCAGCTTCATATATTATTATTACTATTTGGTAGCCGACTATTGAAGAATACAGACGGACGAGCAGCGGGATAGCGAGTGATGCCGTTCGCACAGCTGGTGATCGGCCCTCCTGGGTCCGGCAAGTCGACGTACTGCAATGGAATGCAGCAGTTCATGTCTGCCATCGGGCGCAAGTGCTCGATTGTCAATTTGGATCCGGCCAACGACCAGACTTCGTATACGCCGGCAGTGGACGTGCGGGAGCTCGTTACGCTGGAGGAGATCATGAAGGAAGACACCCTGGGCCCGAACGGAGCTGTCCTGTATGCGCTGGAGGAGCTCGAGGAGAACTTCGAGTGGCTTGAGGAAGGACTACACAGCTTGGGAGGTATGTTTTTCTTACATCTACTATGTATGGCTCTTCTAACGGCTGGTTTGGCTGGCAGATGACTATGTGCTGTTCGACTGTCCCGGCCAGGTGGAGATATTCACACACCACAGCTCACTAAGGAACATGTTCTTCAAGATCCAGAAACTTGGGTATAGAGTGTGCAGCGCCCCATTTCTCGAGTTTGAACAGCTGCCGTTACTCGTTCGCAGAGTGCATGCAGGCTGGCGGAGTTAATATGCTAACATGCGATGCGTGTAGCTAGTTGTAGTGCACCTGGTCGACTCTTATAACCTCACGCTTCCATCGATGTACATCTCGGCGCTGCTGCTGTCACTCCGGGCAATGCTTCAGATGGATCTGCCGCACCTGAACGTGCTGACTAAGATCGACAACCTCAGCAAATATCCTTCCCTCCCGTTCAACCTGGACTTCTACACCGAAGTCCACGACCTGTCGCACCTGATACCGCACCTGAACGAGGAAGCGCCGTGGCTCGCGAATTCCAAGTTCGACGCGCTGAACTCCGCCATAGTCGAGCTAGTGCAGGATTTCGGGCTGGTAGGATTCGAGACGCTGGCGGTAGAGGATAAGAAGAGCATGATGAGCCTGCTGCATGCGATCGATCGAGCGGGCGGGTATGCATTTGGGTCCGCTGAGGGCGCCAACGATACAGTCTGGCAGGTGGCTGTTAGAGAAGGTATGGGAGTGATGGATGTCAAGGATGTGCAGGAGAGGTGGCTGGATGCAAAGGATGAGTGGGATGAGAAGGAGAGGCAGGACTGGGAAGCAGAAGCCAGGGCGAGAGAAATGAGCTCAACAGGTCCTGCCGGCGACAACGACGACATGGACATGGACGAGCTAATGTCGAATGTCCCGCCCAACAACGGCATCAAGGTGGTAAGGAAACCGCCCAAGTAATTAACGAATAACGATCAACCTGGTAAAAATGAACAAATGGTAGGGGCGTTTTTGCGGGGGGATAATATCACGGAGAATAATCAAGATACATACGCACGTACGTACCTTTTGTAAAACCACCGCTCAGACGGAGGTAGCGAAGAAAGGAGAAATCAAAAAAGAAGGACAGTGTTCATTCACTATCGTCGTCGCCGTCCTCTTCACTTGCACTCTCAATCCCGTGCTCCGGCGGCACCGCAGGCCCGTCGGCAGCAAACATGTCTTCGAGCGCAGCCTTGCCCCCATTCTCCCACTCCCGAGTCAACTTGACGACCTCCATACGAGCCCGGCGGATAGCCTCGAGCTCAGCCTTTTTCATCGTGCCCGAGACGCGCACGACGCGAAAGACACAGCGTTGCTGCTGGTCGAGGTCGTTGGCACCCGCACTCTGTCGGCCAGCAGGGAGACTTGACGTGTATGTCAAGGCCGACCAGACCAGACGATAACTTGCTCGAGGACAGCGTATGATGGCCGTCGACGTAGCGGGCGAGAGATATTTCACTATGTTGTCAGTCAGTAACTTATCAATAGCAGTAACTGGTAGGTAAGGTGAGGTGAACACACCGCTGACGGCACCGGCGCCAGCACCTCCCAGCCTGCCCATCCCCCAGTCGCCGAACATCTCTGCGACGGCCTCCCTGACCATCCTGGCGAGGGCCTGGGGCGTAAGGGCGTCTGGCGTTGGCCGGTGAAGCTGGAGGTGGAAGGCCTTTTCGTCCAACTGGGTCTTTTGCGCGTCCGTGTGCGGCGGGTAGAGGATATTGAGCAGCAGATACCGATGTTTCAGACGGACCATCTTGATATCAATGGCTTTATCTATGGCTTTATCTATGACTTTATCAATGGCTTTATCAATGGCTTTATCAATTGGCTTTATCAACTGTTGTAGAGGTTAAGGATGGAGGTTGGTTGTTGTTGACGTTGATTGATGGTTTTCTCTTTGGGGCTGAAATTTCAACGTCAAAGATAATAACCAACTACGCACCGAAGTCAAGACTATGAAGATAAGGTCTACGAACTGGACAATTTGGAGACGAACGAAGAAAAGTATTATTATCATGGACTAATTTTCATATCAAGGGTTGAAAAGTCAAGCTAGTATCTACCTACCATCCCTCCACCATCTATTTTCAAATCTCAATTGCCGTAAGTGTGCATGCAGTCAGTTTAGATGCTGACCTCGACACGACCCTCGGCCGACGAGCCCTTGGACAGGGTGGGCAGGAGGTAGGTGATGTCGTCCCAGGGGTGGCGGTAGAGGCCGGTGCGCAGGCGCTTCTGGTCCAAGAAATGGGCGATGAGACCGATGCTTCTGCCGAGGACGAAGAGGCCGTTGAGCACGCCCATGGAGAGGTAGTCTTCGGCTTCTTCGGGGGTGAAGGCGCCGCAGTTGCGGATGAGGTCGACGAAGCAGACGGCGATGCAGCCGTCGACGTTGAGGATGAGGTTGTCCTTCTTGGAGGTGGTGACTGTCTCGACGGCGATGGCGTAGTCGAGGAGCTTGTGCGAAGGGAAGTTCTTGATCACGTATTCCTTGACCAGCTCGACACGGAGGTCAGGGTTGGCGCGGGACTTGATACGGTGGCCAATACCGGGGACTAAACAATCAGCAGGGGTCTCTACTTTTTTTTTTTTCTTTTTTTTTTTTTTTATACAGAGTATCGAGTAACTGGCAAGGATGTATAGGTTAACTTACTGAGCTTGTTCTCCTTGCGCATGGTATCGACAAAGTCGCGTGGGGAGAGACCCCGGTCAAAGGCGCGGGTGAACTCCTCCGCAGCACCGTCGAGGGCACCGCCGAAGCGAGAGCCGATGGTGAGCAGACCAGACACCAGGGCGGAGATGAGGTCCTTGCCGGCACGGGTGGTGATGATGGTGTTCATGGCGCCGGAGACAGCGGGACCGTGGTCAGCGGTGAGCATGAGGACCATCTCGAGGAACTTGGAGGCGTAGGCGGGCAGACGACGACGGAACCAGAGCAGGGACATGACGCCGCCGATGCCGATGTCCTCCTTGAAGACGTCGGAGATGGGCATGCCGGCGTAGAGCAGCTCCTGGCCACGGTCGTCAGAAATGGTGGAGATGAATGCGGCGGGCTTCCGGATGAGACCGAGCTCCTGGGCCCAGGAGTAGTCGAGGGGGATCTTGGGCACGACGGGCTCTGGCTGGGGCTTGATGGTGCCCTGCTTGACGAGCTTCTGGTAGACGGCAGAGAGCACGTCGGGCAGGTCCTCGAAGGTGTCGGGGACGTGGATGCCGGCCTCGCGCATGGACTTGTTCTTGGTGACGGCGGTCTCGAGGTCTGAGTTGGCAGAGGCACCGGCGTGGCCGAACTGGACCTCAGTCTTGAACATGCTGGCGCAGGTTCCGATGGCCCAGGCGACGACGGGCTTGGTGATGGTGCCGTTCTTGACGGCCTCGATGACACGGTACTCCTCGACGCCGCCGACCTCGCCGAGCAGGAGGAGGATCTTGCACTCTGGGTTGGCCTGGTAGCGCAGCAGGTGGTCGAGGAAAGTAGTTCCGGGGTATCTGTCACCGCCAATGGCGACGCCTTCGCAGACGCCGTCGGTGGTCTGGCAGACGATGTTGTTGAGCTCGTTGGACATGCCGCCGGACTTGGAGACGTAGGCGACGGAGCCCTTGCGGTACAGCTTGGAGGCGACGATGTTGTCCATCATGCCGCCGGTGTTTCCGATCTTGAACGCACCCGGCTTGATGCCACCGACGGTAGCAGGGCCGATGATGGTGACTCCTTTCTCCTTTGCCCGCACCATGATTTCTCTCGCCCTCTGCCCGAGTTAGCATCCAGCACTGAATAATAAACTAAAGATAGAGTCTTACCCGCTCAGGGACGCCCTCTGCGATGATGGCAATGGTCTTGATCTGGGGGAACTCCATGAGCTCCATGGTCGAGGAGTAGACGGAGCGAGACGAGGCAAAGTTGACGACGGTGTCGACGTCTGCGTGTTTGGCCATGGCCTTGTTGGTGTCCTGGTAGACGGGCAGCAGCGTCTCACTCGTTCCCCAGTACCTACACCACATCAGCAACTATCAATTGACGGTTCTTCATTGAACATTGCAAGGGTAGAACGCACATCTTGCTGACGAACTGGCCGCCAAAGGTGTAGATGATGGCGGCGACGGAGGGGGTCGACCGCTTGCAGATGAAGTCGAAGTCGAGCATCCCCTGCACCGCCCGCGGCTGCATTCCACTGGCCAGCCAGTCAGTATCTCTCGCTCTCACTCTCTACAGCAGTCCTGGGTACGTACTAGACGAAGCATCGAGTCTTGTTGTGGAAGAGGTTGTGTTCGAGGGGGGTGAGCGGGCGCGAGGCAGCAGTGAAGCGGGTGATGTTGTCGTTGGCAGACAAGTTCCCGCCGGCGCCCATGATGACAGTAGAGCAGAAGTAGAAGTAGAAGTAGAAGTAGAGCAGAGTAGAAGCAGGTATAGATGAGCTGTCGCTGTCTAGTCGATCTGAGTCTGGTGGAAGTTGTCTTGAGCGAGGATGAAGACCTTAAGGAGGAGTCGAAGACGAGATCACAGGCACGAGAGAAGCTCCGTCGGCGCGAGGAAGAGGAAGAAGAAGAAGCTGAAGCGAAGGAGCTTTTCTTTCTTTCAGGCTGAAGAAGAAGAAGAAGAAGAAGAAAAGCCAGCGAGGCTGCCTCAACAAGCGCTTTTGGTGGGAAAAAGCGAGCTTGGGCAGAGTGACTTCTCTTCCCTCCTTATTTTGGTGGCGGAAGAAGTCACTCTGCCCCAACGCTCCACCACACAGTCTCGTCTCTCGCTCGTCTTCAGCCTCGACTCTTATAGCTTCTCTCTCTCTTTACAGTCACTACTCATTCTCTCACTCTCTACTTACTGTCTGCCTCTACTCTACTTCTACTCTGCTTCCTCTTCTACTCTGCTTCCTCTTCTACTCTGCTTCCTCTTCTACTCTGCTTCCTCTTCTACTCTACTACTGCCTCTACTCTACTTCCACTTCTATCTACAATGTCGGCAAAGAGCATCTACGAGGCCGACGGCAAGGCCATCCTCAACTACCATCTCACCCGCGCCCCCGTCATCAAGCCCTCGCCGCTGCCGCCAGCAGACACCCACAACCCGCCGCCAAAGCTCGCCTCGCTCGACTTCCCGCCTGACACCGCCGTCGAGGCCGTCCTCGACCAGGCAGAGGCCACCTATCCCTGGCTGCTCGCTCCCGGCGCCCGCTTCGTCGCAAAGCCCGACCAGCTCATCAAGCGCCGCGGCAAGAGTGGCCTGCTCGCCCTCAACAAGACCTGGGCTGAGGCCAGAGCATGGATTGCCGAGCGGGCAGGCAAGGAGCAGCAGGTAGAGACCGTCGTCGGCGTCCTCAGGCACTTCCTCGTCGAGCCCTTTGTGCCGCACCCGCAGGACACCGAGTACTACATCAACATCAACTCCGTCAGAGAGGTAGGCCACCACTTTTATACTATGATATATATATATATATAGAAAGAGAAAGAGAGAGAGAGATGCTAATGGAGTAGGGCGACTGGATACTGTTTACGCATGAAGGCGGCGTGGACGTGGGCGACGTCGACGCCAAAGCTGAGAAGCTGCTCGTCCCCGTCAACCTCAAGCAGTACCCCAGCAACGAGGAGATCGCGGCCGGCCTGCTCAGCAAGATACCCAAGGGGCTGCACAACGTCCTCGTCGACTTCATCACCCGCCTCTACGCCGTCTACGTCGACTGCCAGTTCACCTACCTCGAGATCAACCCCTTGGTCGTCATCCCCAACGAGGACAAGACCTCCGCCTCCGTCCACTTCCTCGACCTCGCCGCAAAGCTCGACCAGACCGCCGAGTTCGAGTGCGGCACCAAGTGGGCCATTGCTCGCTCCCCTGCCGCCCTCGGCCTCGCCGCAACAACTGCGTCGACCTCGTCAAAGGTCACCATCGACGCCGGCCCGCCCATGGACTTCCCCGCCCCCTTTGGCCGCGAGATGAGTAAAGAGGAGAAGTACATCTCCGACATGGACGCCAAGACAGGCGCCTCGCTCAAGCTCACCGTCCTCAACGCCAACGGCCGCATCTGGACCCTCGTCGCCGGTGGTGGTGCCTCCGTCGTCTACGCAGACGCCATCGCCTCGGCTGGACACGTCTCCGAGCTCGCTAACTACGGCGAGTACTCGGGTGCTCCCACCGAGACCCAGACCTACAACTACGCCCGCACCGTCCTCGACCTCATGCTCCGTGCCCCGCTGCGGCCCGAGGGTAAGGTCCTCTTCATCGGCGGCGGCATTGCCAACTTCACCAACGTAGCCACCACCTTCAAGGGCGTCATCCGCGCCCTCAGAGAAGTCGCTCCCGTCCTCGTCGAGCACAAGACCCAGATCTGGGTCCGACGAGCCGGGCCCAACTACCAGGAAGGCCTCAAGAACATCAAGGCCGTCGGCGAAGAGCTGCATCTCGACATGCACGTCTTTGGGCCCGAGATGCACGTCTCCGGCATCGTTCCCCTTGCTCTCAGCGGCAAGACCACCGACATCAAGGAGTTTGGCTCTTGATTGCCTCTCCCCCTCCTCTGTCGACTTTCCCCCTTCCTGTTACTTAAAAACTTCTCCATGATCAAGTGATGCATAATACTAGACATAATTCCTCCTCTTCTTCTCCTTCCTCCTTCATACCGTAGATTTGATTCAGCGGCATAATACGTAGTATGTGCAGCCTCAATATAATAAACAAACAGGTGTAGAGACAAGATTATTACATTCTGGCGGTTAATCTTTCGTTTTGCCGCCGTGAAGTTAAACGAGTCGCGGCAGGCGCTTAAGATGTTACTAATTATAGTAGTTAGCATGAACTCTAATTGAACAGATATCATTGGCTGTAACTGTTTAGCTCAGTTATTGCCTCTACGATATTGCAAACATAGATGTCCCTAGAGTGTCATCTACGGGTGAGTGGAGGTCATTATCTCACTTCAACCCCCTGAGCCAAATAATCTGCACCAACGGAAGGGTACCTCCTTACTGTCTGGGCCTACTCCGACGAGATATCTTATTTGTCTGGGTACAGAGGCCATCAGCAAGGGGTATACCATATCAGGTTGACGACCACAACCGGCTTGGAGAATTCCTCAGCTTTTATCAATCAAGCTGTCCAGGGCAGTACCTTTGACAACCATCGCCCCGAACCCTAACTCAATACTTTATGGAGCAGCCAACCAAGCGCTTCATAGATGCCAATGTTCCCTTTTGCAAGGATGAGCGACCCAGCCGATGCCCGACCATCGCTAAGTTAAGTACTCCATATGAGTACAAATCAGGAGCATATGACGGGACTAGAGGGTAAAATATATCCAGAACTATGCACCATTCTACCCATCACGATCATTCCGCATTACATACCAGAAAGCGAATGAAGCGGGGTGGAAGATCATGCAGCTCGAATTCACACCAGCAGGCCCCATTGAGTTGACTGACAGGACTAGTTCGCTAATACCAAGCTGGCGATGCTGGTGCGTGGCAGCAAAGGAAGCCTGCGTCAAGAACATGATACGTAGTCCGCCGAGCTAGCTTGTATGACCAACTGCAAGCCTGACTCTGCTGGTGCGACACGAACTGTGGTCTGGACGGGGATGCAGGGGGACTGCTGCAGACATCGACATGCACTAGTTAAAAACTCCCTACTAGCCAAAAAATAAGTCGTACTACACTCCTCTCCTCTCTACTACGCATTTCCTCGCTCTCCCTCTCCCTCTTTCCCCCTCTCTTTGTATGTGTGTCTGCGTCGTAGCTAAATAGACCGAGAGATTGGAGGTGCCAAGTTCCTGCCTGTAAACTTGATAGCTATGCGAAATGTTGTACAATGCTGACACCATGGTTATTTCTTAATATATATTAACTGCTGGTAGTGCCAACAGCGATATTGGATGACGGGATATTTCAATAGTGGCGGATCAAGATCCTGTTAATTAGCTGTTTCTGCTGATTCGTCTCACTGAACTCTCACTGCCCAAGTGGCTTTCTTTGGGCTATGATAGTGGCTACTTTTTGCTTGGAAAAAAAACTCGGTTGTCCAGGCGCGCCACGACCGGCTGCAGGCGACAGATAAAATTAACGAGTAGCTAAGCAGATAGGCATACGTAAGTCTGCTTGTTCTGCAGACTAGAATTGAGATTATCAAGCGGTGTAATTGTATCTTGTATTTTCTGCATGAGCAAAGGGTGAGATACTGGCCGTTTTCCCTTTCTAGATACGCAGTTAGACCGCAATTAAGAAATATCTCAGATACATAGACGAAAGTTGCTTTTCCCTCGAAACAAAATCACATCACACGTTAGGCTAACACATTTGTCTGTCTTCTCTCTTTCAAGAAGTAGATTGTATATATATTAGGTCATCAGGGGTAATTTATCAACTAAGAGACATGAAGGGTTCAAGAAATATTAATTATTAATTTGCATAGGTCTCGATGGAGACATTGTTTACAAGTAGGCAGCGAGAGCGAGGATGGCAGCGCCCATACCGCCAATGTTGGCAGAGAGACCGGAAGCAGCACCGGTGTAGATGGGGGTGGACTGGGTTGGGACACCGGTGTTGGTGAAGGTGCCGGTGCCAGATGGGCCACCTGGGGCGCCGGTGCCGGATGGAGAGCCGGTGCCAGTTGGGGCGGGAGTGGTGGGAGCTGGGGAGCTCTCGGTGGGAGAGGCAGTGGGAGCCTCGCTGGTGGAGGGCTCAGATGGCTTGGAGGAGGACTGCTCAACTGGAGGAATGGAGACGGGAGCTCCGGCCTCGGAGCACTGCTTGACGACGGCGTTGGAGACGGCTATAAGCGTAGGTTAGCAATGCGTATGCATGGGACTAATAGGATAATATAGTCAGGCCTTAAAACTTACAGATTTGGTCGGCAACAGGGCACTTGGACTTGACGCAAGGAGTGATCTTGGCTGGGAGCTCTGGCTTGGAGCAGTGGCACTTGAAGTCGGTCAACTCGGAGCATCCATCAGTGGTGAGAGCATCGAGGAAGCATGGCAGCTATAGAGAATGTTAGCAAATAGGTCCTTTCTTTCATCGCTGTCGAATGTAACACATACAGAGCACTGAGGAACGTCTGGGAGCTGAGCAGAGACGACGGTGGCAGCAGCCAGGGCAATGACGGCCTGAGAGAACTTCATTTTGTTGGTATTTGGTAGACAAGAAAGACTTGTATTAATTCGATAGTAAACGACAGTTGAACGACGAAACGAGTGTCTATGTTAAGAACTGTTGCGAGGATGGAGGAGAGAAAAGGAAAAGGAGGAAGAGAAAAGCCAGAACGCAGCAGGTAGGATGGGAAGAGCTTTATATCTTCAGATGAGAAACAAGAGAGGATCCAACTTTGCAAAAATGAAGATGAAAAAAGAAATATTAGAGAGGCAAGAAATCAGTGTAACCGAAAAAGCAACCTGCGGCCGAGTTTACAAAAAAATAACAACACCACATCCAAGCCACTTGGAGAGGGTGGAGGAAGATGGAGGAAGAAGCAAAGGAGCTGGATCCACACCCCACGTCCTCAAGTTAGCTCAAGGGAATGGAGAGGAGTCTGGTGTGGACAGTTGACGTCGGCTTGGGGCCGGGGTATATGTTAGTTGAAGACATGGATTTGGCCAGATGGAAGGGAAGGGAAGGACGAGGTTTGAAAATTTCACATGCAGCATCCCTCATGTTCCCTTAGCAAGATCAGAACAGTGTACTTGGCCAGTAACAGGAACAAGTACCTTCGTGTGTGTATACATCCTTCTGTAACCCACGGTTGATCTTGCGTGGTTGTGGTGGTGACGGCAACACTTGACTGAATGGCTGGTTCCTGTAGACAATGGAGATGCCGTCCTGCAAGCCGGAGGTTGTTCGTGCATTGTACCGCGGTTCCAGAGTACGATTAATTGTTGTCCACTAATTGCGAGGTCGGATGCTCGGTACATCGTAGATGTACTCCCAAGCGTGGATACGGGGTATGGGGTGGTGTGGACTTTTGGCCTTGTTGCTCCCCCAGAGGTGGGTCGTCGTCGTAACTTTGAAGAACGAGCGAGATGCTATTTTTTCATGCTTGGTTGGGAGGACCCCCTGCCACATTGTGTCTTCCTCTGCTTCGCCCGAAGGTCTGGAAGTCCATCCTCTGTACTCTTGTGTGTATCGGAACAGGCGCATGGAGGAACCATCGGTGGACCTTTCATCGCCCAGCGGCTGAAGGTGGCAAACAAACATCCAACCACCTCAGAAAATGGAAAAGTTGAATGATGGTCAAGCTTTTCTTCCCCTTCTAACTAAAGAGCGGAAGGACTCTTCCTCAAGGGCTCTGTCGGCTCTGTCGCTGTAAGAGAGTGTCTAGGGTGGAAGGAAGCGGCTGTACGAAATAGCCTTACGCTCTGTATCCTTTCGTGCGAATAGCCAAGGACCCCTGGTGTGGTTACCTTCTTCCTTACTCCGTACAATAAGATAATGCGGAGTGAGCCGTAGCTCGAACATCAACGAGCCAGGAACTGGCAGATGTTAGTTCGTAGTTAGCACTTCTCAGGTTACGGATGCACCGCTGCATCTCGCTCTGTTCCTCGCCATTCCCAACCCCCCTTGCGCCTCTCGGCTTCTCGAAAGAAAATCTTAAGCCGGTAGGCCCGCTTGGCCAGCAGCCCATTCGCTGTTGTTAAAGGCCCTCTCGCTATTCTCCGTGGCCGGTCTGCTTCTCCATGACTCTCCTTCACACAGTTGGAACGGGGAAGCCCGCTTGGCTCAGTAGCTCCCAGCACTCTGAATGGCCATTGTCCAGTTAGTGTATGCAATGCAGGTGGGAAAGGAAAAAAGCAACGGGACAGAGGGCTGGGATCGATGTCTCACGTCAAGTCTCCACATGGAGCATCTCTACTGGCCATGGACAGGTTCATCGTTGCTTGCCTGGTCGAAAGAGAAGCAAGAGGAGGCTATATGGAGATCCCGGCAGGAGGCGGCAAGGGGATGCGCAGCTCGTCCTCCGTGCTATGCTGTATCGTACTGTCACCCGCTTCTTGTCTTTGCTTCTTCTCCTTGCCATCTCGAAAATCCGTCAGCGGGTGGTTGGACGAGTCGGCTCACTCTGACTCGTCCTTCTCAAGCTCTAAGCTTTGTCCTGGTGACTGGACTACGCATATCTGTTGCCCTGGAGATATCCAGCTCGGGTTGCTACTGTCGTCGTCAGTCTTCCTGCCTCACGATGACGATGACGATCGATCCAACCACCACCAACCACCCCTCTGGATCGATGAGTTATACTATCCATTGATAGTAACGGGCAATGCCCACTGGACCGAATGCCACATTGGAAAATCACCATGGCTAGCTGTGCCACCGTCGTATCACCCGCAAGCCCTTGGGGGCGTCTCAAGAGGGCTCTCAGATATCAACTCCCGCAGCGGCGTTGACTATCACCCCCAATGTCTACCCCTTAAGTAGCTATTGTCATGCCTAATTATGTAAAATCCTCCATGTCAGCGGTACTCCGTCGAGGTGGGAATAAACGGCCCGATCTGGGGTAAATCTGTGTATTTTTGCTCTTGTGCTCCAATTCCGTTAATTTCGTGGCTTGCTTTCTTTTTGCAAGCTGTCTCTATCGACGGAGTATTATCTCAGCACTGATGATCCATGCCAGCCATGTCCCGACAGCAAGCACAATCATTAATTACTTCGTTTTCCAGTCGTCTCTGCGTGTCTCTCTCTGCATGTCTCTGTTTACGCGTGCGTGTGAATAGCCAAATCATGGCGTGCCATATCCGATCCTAGCTTGAGGTTAGGGGCCGGAGATCCCCAAAGAGGCGATGCTCTCCGCCTGCATAACGTCACATCATCGGATTTTACTGGGTTTGATCGTATTTTTTTAGCTGTTGCCCGAAGTCAAGAGTTCGTGGCAAGTAGCCGCTTGTTGTTTCTTGTTTCTGATGACATGCATCGCTGGATACAGCTGACGATGGGGGTGATGATGATGCAGGTGTCACTCGATGACGGATGTAGCATTTCACAGCCTCCATCTCACTTTCTCAGCCCGATGGCGAAGGCAAAGGAGTCGGCTCCCGTGCGCTGATGCAGGTTCCCTGGCAGCGAGACATGTCGACGTAGCATTTCATATCTCATGGGCCGTCTGGCATTACTTTTCTGCTAGCTGTTGGTACACATGCATTCCTGCATGCAAGAGGAACATCCTCGGTGAGAGAAAAAAAATGAGATCAAAAAGGGGGCCAGCCAGGTCAAAGCGAGTAGTCGGCCTCTGTAGGCGAGAATAAGGGAGCAAGCGTTCAGAAGCCCTGCAGTTTCGTATCCAGATGGAAAGCAAGGGAAAGGCCCAGCCCTCCCCTTCGATTGGTCTGATGTACCTGCGTGCGAGGATCTCGCAAATCGGCTCCCCTGTTTTAGCATCGATTAAGAACCGAGAGGGAAGAGCTGCTTGACTTCCCTGACTTTCGCTCTCTGATTTCAACCTTCTGGCCCTCTGTCAGGTCAATTAGTCTCGTCTTTTTTTTGCTTCTCGGGAAAGGGGTTGATATTGAACTCTGACACACCTAAATCTCTAGTCCCTACCTTAATTCTCCCTCTGTCTGTTTGCTCGGCCTTATGAACACTTCAGTTCCGAGAAATATGCATGAGGTGGTGGGAGGATTACTCGAGGAGCCACTCTTTACGATGTTTTGCATGCGCCAATGTGCCAGGAACGGAGAGAAGAGGTCGAGAGAAAAAAAGGGGCACTTGTCTAAACCTGGGGAAACGGGGAGCGGATCCATCCAGGGGGCGCCTGTTGTTAGCCCGAGGATATTAAAGGCCTTTCCCCAGGTTTTTCTTTCGTTCCGCCGTGTTTAAACAAGCGCCGACCCGTGTGCCTCCTCTCTTCCATTTTCCCTTACTTAATTTCCATGTGAACGCTGGATGCTGGACGAGGTGCATTTCGAAGATTTGGTCGGCATTCCTCCCTCTTGCCCGGCCGATTGCTCAGGACCACTGCAGACAACCAATTACCATCTGTCTGCTACCGCTATCATTGGGCTTTGTCTGCTGCTCAGTAGTCAAAAGAAAGATCTTGGGAGAAGAATAGTATGAATTCCAACCTTGTGCGTTCCCGAGTATCAAGCCGAAGTCCAAAAAGAAAAGATATCAGAAAACACATAGCATCCCATGACCCCGAGTGAAAATGACAAAAAGCGTCAAAAGCAAAGTCAACATCAGTTGATCCAACGGACCAAAGCAAGCAGATGCTCGGGGAAAAATAGAATAATACAGAAAAAGAACAAGCCGCGGTAATAAGAAGAGCATCTGTCGTCGTCATTAAACAGGAGAAGAAAAAACGAGGTACTCAGGAAGAATACCCAAGGTGACGGGACATCACGATAGCAACTCGTCTATGTACGCCTTCTCGCTCGCTTTCTCCCGCATCTCTTCCTTTAACAAGACCGCAAGGACTTCAATCGGCGGATTCAGGCCGAGAGCATGAGCTCGTCTCCAGCGTTTTATCCGTGCAATTCCAATGCATGGCTGACAGATGATATTCAGTCAGCTTTTGCTTTTCTGCTGCTGCTTTTTGCTGCCAGGAAAGTATATTGATGAATTTACTTACGCCGTACTGACTGCACAGGTCAAAGTGCCGTAGAATCCTCTCCTCAATACTTAGATCTGCTTGATGCACTGTAAACCCGTAAATGTCAGCCAGATTGATGCCCCGTAGTCCCGCAGAAGTACTCGGCATACCTCTCGAGGCAGTTCGCTTTTTCTCCTCCGCCCGCCAGTATGCTTGCAGCTGCTTCACCGTCAATGCCTCTGCCTGCTCATCTTCCTTCGACTTTGGCAACGCTGCCTCGGCTCTGGCCTGCTCGTGTACGACGGCTGTTGAAGTTGTGGATGCTGGAGTAGCCTTGACTTCGGCGGCAGGTTCTTGCAGCTGCAGTTGCTCCTCGTCCTGCTTCTTTGGCAGGCTGTGGGTGGGCAGGGAGATCTCCTTGGGCGAGGGAGACTTCTGCTTCAAGTCCTTGCCGGGTATCGAGGCATTGGAGAAGGGCTTTGATATCTTTGACTGCGTGCCGAACTGGAGGGTTGCCTGGTTGTTTTTGCGTGACTCGGCGGCTTTTCGGCGGGGGGCCATGTCGACGGTGAGTTAAGGACTATCTTGATGCGATAGTGAGCTGAGTATCAACTGGATCGCACTCTGGTTGTTTCGCTGTTGATGAGAAGCTGCCGTCGTTGGTGTCTGTCTGTCGCCGCTGGCTGCCTGGAGGCTCATCGGCCGGGAAAAACGCTGGTTGTCCATGGCAACCACCCCGAGGCGGCTTTTTCTCCAGCCAACACAACACGAGCAGAGCCTCCACTCCAACAGTAGGGAGACGGTGGTCAGGATCAAAGAACTACGCGGATACAGCGGGAGACACAGGTCTATGGAGGGTTTAATGGCTGCTATCTAGATACCAAAGATGGACGACGGCTTGAACTTGAGGACATCCGCAACGACTTCCACCATCTCGACCACTTTCTCTTCCTCGAGCCGCTTGCCGTATAGCTGTAGCGAGACGGGCGCACCGTGATAGAACTCAGGATCATACTCGGACTGCATGATCTTGTCCTGCTCGCTCAGAGGCTTCCAGCTCGCGTCTCGCTTCAGGTCGACGGCCTTGTCTGCGTAGGTGACGGGGAACGTACACGATGGGAGATCTACCAGTCACAGAGCTTGTCAACAGCGGGACATCAGGAATCAGACCCGGCGAAGGAGAAACATACCTAGCAGGTTACCAAAGGCAGTGAAGCCGAAATACTGCACCGTCTCGCCATATCCCAGACGAGCAGCGGGGGCAACGGCGGCTGGAGCGATGATACAGTCCATGGGGCCGGCAGTGTCCGTCTTGGTAGCCATCCACCTGTCGAGATACGCTCGTTGCAGGCCGTTGCGTTCGATGATCATATCGTTCAGCTTGACGGCGTCCAGCTGGTTTTCCTTGAGCGTTGAGAAGGTCTTCTCCATGCATTTGAAGAGAGGCTCGCCGTGCTTCTCTAGCTGCGGGAGGATGGCGGATGTTCCGAATACCTTGAACCCTTCCATGACGAGACGCAGAACCTCAGGGTGTCCGGTTGGTGCCCTTTTAAAAGCAGTTCGTCAGCGCAAAATACAGCTTTGAAGTAGCGGAGGAGTGGCTTACCATTCAAAGACATCATGGCCGGCTTCTTTCAGTGCCTTGCTCACGATGTTAAGGGCGCGCTCTATGGGCGGGTAGCAAGTCATACCGCCGTCATTTTTACCTAATATACCAATACGCAACTTCCGCCCCTTGGGCTGGATGACATCCTTCCTCCAGGGGATGGGGAGAAGCTTGGGGTCGGCGTTCCACTGCCCGGCCTGCTCAGACATGATCGTCTCGCAAAACAGCTTGACAGTATCAAGTGAGGTTGCCATTGGGCCGCACACGGATGGGATAAACTCCTGTCCCTGTATGGCTGCTCGTCCTCCTAGGGTCGAGAACCGGCCAAAGGAGGGCTTCAAACCATACAGATGGCAGAACGCGCCTGGAACACGGATACTGCCTCCGATATCTGTTCCAAGTCCCAATGGAGACGCCTTGAGGGCCAGAAGAGCTGCCTCTCCGCCTGACGAGCCACCGGGGCTCAAACCCTTGTGGATGGGGTTTCTAGTCTCTCCCCAGACTCTGTTGTCTGTCTCTGCCATCAACATTGCCGTGGGCACGTTAGTCTTGACATAGAAGACTGCACCCAAGTCTCGCAGTCCCGTCACTATTACGGAGTCCTTTACTGTAGGCTCGATGGTGTACGCCGCCATTCCAATGGACGACGGATGAGGGACCGTCATGAAGTTGTCCTTTAGCGAGACTGGCAGCCCGTGAAGAGGGCCAACCACCTTTCCTGCCCTTTCGAGGTGATCGTCTAGCTCCTTTGCGCGCTTCAATCCCTCGTCAAACAGAACTTCAGTGACACAGTTGGTCTATAAACTCTCACGTCAGCCAACTTGTTCGTCCCTGAGCAGAAGAAGCGTCTTTACACATACCAGCTTCTGTGCAATGACAGTTGCCTTGCAAAAGGCCGTGGTTATCGTCACGGAAGACAGCTTTCTTGTCCTGAGCTTCTCTAACAGCACAGAGGCATCGGAATTGATAATCTCCAGCTCCTCGGTGGTGAGAAGACCTGAAGTCTGAGGGTACGATCGCAGGTCTCGCGGCAGCTCATCTTCCTTGACATCGGGGATAGACCAAAATGCGGCAAGGGCATCGTCTCTCCTCTTCCTTGCTGCCGCAGATATTTCTTTATAGCACTGTCCCATCTTCGTTTACTCGTGGAAACTTGATTTTTTGATCTTAATGCTGGATATGTCTTCTAGTCTGCCACTCTGGCCTTTGCACTGCGAATTCGTCCCCTATTTATCTATCAACAAAGACAGGGCTAACCGGAACCCCTCCTAACATTTAGCCGGTGAAGCAGGGCGATCCCGCCTCGGCCTTGCTTGACTGGAGGGTATATCCCGTCAACTAAATGTCAACAACGCCTCTCTCAGTGCAGAAGCTATCTTTCCCCCGTCGGTTGGCCCATCGCTCCCCCGCAACGTCCCCACATGGGGTAGAGTATATCTTATCTGGCGGTGGCATGGTAATCTTTCCGCGATGCGGACACATCGTGGTCGCCTTCTAGTAGTTATACGGCTGGTAGAGCAGTTTACATCTAAAATATAGATGTGTATCAAAGTGTTGTGGTAAGTGTTTATATGGTTGAAGAAACAGTCGTCGTATAGTTATATTGAAAATGCCATCAGCCTCAATTAACATCACAACCGAGACCACGTCAATGACCTAATCTAATTGGTATTCTACCTTAACCTTTTAAGTCGGCGTCTGCAGCCACTCCTGATCTTAGTTGAGTTGCCCGAGGTCGTCGGAGATGTTCAATGTATTCGGTCGATAGGTTGGGTTCGCCTGTAGAGTGTTTTCTAGAGACAAGATCCAGCCTCAGCCTGCCTGATGAATCTTACAGAGTCACCATCTATAAAATATGCTCATTTGCCGTCTTTGCTTCCAATCGTCAGTGATATTGAACTGCTATGGCTCCTTCCATTGCTCCCTGGGGATACAGGCACAAATACAGTGGCTTCCCCCAAACCCTCCACCTTTCCGCGGGGTAACGAGCAGCTGGCCAATCATAAGCCGTTTCTCCTCTATCCTCCCATAAACTTCGGCCTTAATTCCGTGATTAGTCAGTATTTAGTCAGATGTTAAAGTGGCGCGCGCTAGTAACGCGTCTGGCGCGTCTCGTCGCGTCTCTTTTGGTGGTGGCTGGAAAGAAGAAAATGCAAGCAAAAGAAAGACGCTGATAGAGAAGAAACAAACCAACCACCGCAGGTGGAAAAGCGAGGGCTGGACAAAGAGAGGGCAATTGATAATGGACAGGAGCTCTCTGTGCCTGCTTTCCTGTCTTGTTGGTGCTTCGGAGCTGTATTACGGATACATCCTGCTCACTTCAACTGATAGTCGCAGCCCAGCATGAGCCTCAGGCCCATCGAGCAGGCGTTGGCCAGCCTTCTGCCCGCGCTCGCAGAGGATCTCCCTCGTGAGCTGCTGAATCTTGCGTCTTCCCTGCTCACCCAGTCTCGGAGCTGTGGTGCGACTCTCAAGCCGGAGATGGAAATTGCCAGGCCGTATGCGTGTGCGGAAATCGCCTGCAAGAGGTAGTGTTGTTTGCTTCTTTCTTTGGATGCCCCCATTGACACGCAGACTAACTCTGGGTGATTGCAGATTAGCCAGGACGTTGAAACTTCCATCACCTATCAGCCGTCCACCTTGCCCTCCCAGAGTGTACAAGAAGCTCTACGCGCATCTCGAACAGTCCCTGCAAAGCTCGTCGGTCAGCTCCAAGCGCCAGAATGCAGAAGCCCAAGCACAGAAACGCGCATCTACCAGAATACAGAACAAAGCTACAGCTTCTCCGGCCTTACCTACACCTACAGCCACATCGTCAGCGATCTCATCTCCTAGACAGGCTAAAAATTCGGGGAATGGTCGGAATAATGTATCGTCAAAGCTGGTGACGGGCAGTTCGCCTGCCGTGGAGCTGCCTCAGTGGACAATGGGACAAATCAGGACGATATGCAAGACGTTTCCTTCTCTCACGCGAGCAAAGGAGATCCCATCACCTAGCACATTTGCCTCCACTCTTCCACCACATGTATACGCCGGCCTTTGCTCAGTTCTATCATTTATCTCAGCTTCAGAGGGACGTCTTACAGAAAAATGGCAGGATCTCGTCTCACCCGTCTTATCACTCGGGAAAGGGCAGGATGATCCTGAAGCATTGAAGGTGACGAATGAGAGGGTGACAACATTGAGCATTGCCATTTATTTCGTTGTCTACACCCGGCGGATTGGGATGGTATACGATGCAGAGGCACAACACTACCCCAACAAGCCGATGACAGAAGTGAATGAGACAGACATGGAAGAAACGATAGGCCGCGCATTAGACAGCGTTGGTCTCCCCCGGCTGGTAAATGGCCGTGAACAATACTCTATGGAGGTCGATGCATGGCTTATGATCATGCTTGAGATGGGCTGGGCCATTAATCAAGAGTGGTTTGAAAACATTCCTTTACCAACTACAGACGAGATTGAGGCCTATAATCAGAAAAACAAGAGAAGAAAGAGAGGTTTCGGTGAGGATTCCGATTTTGAAGAAGACGATGAAGAGATACTCAGTCCCAAGCGGAAGATGGTGAAGAGCAGGAATGCGGATGTTGGAAGAAGACATCTGACGTCGGGAGAGCAGAATCACTGTGGTGACACACTGCTACCTGGACTAGGCACAATGATGCATCCTCAGGTTGACTGGCTGAGTGAAGACAAGAGATACTCGTATGGAACGTGGAGGGACCGCATAATGATGTGGATAGAGCAGGTGGAGATCTCAGGTTGATACCTGATCTTGCTTCCACCTCCCCCCTTTTCATATCCTTTACATGTTTATTTTTCCATTCTTTGTCGGTTCCTCTTTTTTTTTTTTTTCTTTTGGACATACCCAGGAAACCTGCAACATTTTTTACCTGTAGCATATTTGGAGTACGGAGCACCATACCCAGGCTTTTTGAGAAATAATTGTTTGAATAAGTGCCACCGCAATGGAAGAAAGCTTATTGCAAGACATTAAAATGTTTCATGGTCTATTGGTTAAAATCTATGAGGGCAGAGAATGGAGATGAAGTGAAGAAGTGAAAGTATGAGAAGACAAGGGTTAGTACCAGATACTTCTTGTCCGATGATGGGGCATAGTCTCTTTCCCGTCCGCTTCCATATCCTTGACCATATCGTACAAGAAAAAGTCGATCAAGATGGCGTTGATGTGTAAAGGTTTGGATCCATTAGCTTCATGATGGCCATTCCTCTGTCGTTGAAGCTCTTGTATTTCTCGTCTTATTAGCTCCACGCCCCAGATACTGGCACCACGAAGCTCGACCTCCCGCTGATGGCCACTAGGTATGAGCTTGCGCTGCCGAATAACACTCTCCAGCGGCGGAGAGAAGAGCAGACAACCAAGCTGGTTAAGCATTTGAGGGATACGATAATCTTATATATGATTAGAGAGTTGATAAATCAAAGATACGATGAGTATTAAGGGAGCATACCGGCAAACATGGTAATTTTGTCTATATCATGGAACTCTCCGTAACTCTGGCCTTGGAAGCAAGCCCATAAATCAGCAACGAGAATCTGAGCCCGCTTGTAGAACCGGACTTTCTTCCCGGAAAACTCAGTCTCGTCTCTGAAGCAAGGGAAGTTTTGAGCCAGGAGATTGACCAAAGCTGCTGCTGAACCATTGGCTTCCTCAATGCAGTTGGTAAAGCTACAATCATATTTCTATGGCAATGAATTAGCATTGGAATGTAACGGATGATAGTTGAAGTTATGTATACCTCATAAAGAACTGATCCTGCTTCTCGTAGACAGGCGATGCGTTCCTGAAGTAGAGGAATCTCTTCATCCGTAGCAGACCGGAAAACATGCCTCAGCACTTCATCCGTGCACTCGTTTTCATCTTGCCAAAAGTCGGAGCTCGTAATGGGTATCTCTGTAAGTCTCAGCATGGTGTCCTTTGGAGTATTAGAAAAAGAAATGCAGGGGTAGACAGATATATACCCTCATCAAGGGCCCTCTGCAAGGCCGCGACCAGACTCCAATAACCGGTCCATTTCCTACCGCGATACTCAACCGCAAATCTCTTCGATGCATCAAGTTCAGACCAGAAACTGAAGTTGAGTAGGTCCATGGTGAATATAAAATTGACAGTGGACTCGTCTTTAGCTTTTGGATGCAGCTCATGGGCTGACCATGACTCAGTTGAGTATTCTTTTTCCTGCATCATCTTCCAAATATTTTTGGCAGCAGACTTGGTTCCCTTAGGGTCAAGGGCAACATCTATAGCGTTGTCAAAGATGAACTTTGCGCCCTCGAGCACCTTTGTCTCTGCTGGCGGTGGTGTTTTTGAGTTGCCTCCTCCTAGGCCGAGGGACTGCCGGAGCAGTTCCAGCAGCTCCAGGTCCGGCCCGTCATCATCGTAATCGTCATCCGCATGCATAATTAGATGTTTAGAGAAGAATTGAATGCAAAACGTCCCAAGAGGGCGTCTCTGTTAATATATCAACTGGTATATCAACTAGGGAAGGAGGGTATTAAAAAGGAAACAACACATTAAATAGTTATGCAAATCAGAAAAACAGAAGAATCCCCCGAATAAAAAGAAGAAGAAGAAGAAGAACCACCCGAGATTCGTTTTGTAGACTGCTTTTTCCTTCCAGACCCTTTTTTCTTTTCTGGAGCATAAAAAAAAACTTATATAATTTCTTCTCAATCAAACAAGGGGTTCTCCTTGCGCCGTTAAACTTATGCTTACATAAGTTATAATTTTAAAGTCATGTGAATCGTACTTCTTGTCAAGGCTTACATATCCTGTCCCGCGATTGGTGCATTTTGTCCAATCAAATGGCTAACCACAAGCTATTCCTACACGTGACATTACATAAACTAAATGCCCTTATATTACTAATCAAACCTTGTTTCCACGTCGATGCAGCAGAAAAAACAGCAAAAAGCAGCGGTAAAAGCGATAGTAAACAATCTAGGAGGCGATAGCAGGCGATAGCAGGCGATAGTAGCAGCAAATGGCAGCAGTAGCAGTGAGGGTGTACTCCGTAGCGACAGTGTGTGGCGGGGTTAGGGGCAGTTTCTAGATATAAGAAGCGTGCAATGCTCCATCGCAGTTAGTTATGATGGTCAAGGGAGACGGACGGCAGGCGACACTGCATGCTTCATCATAAGAGCGGCTGGATAGTAGAGACGGAAGATAGAGGCAGCAAACAGTGTGTTCCCTGCTTTGCCCATTATTCGTTGCCTTCGCTGCCCTCTTTCTCGGCAACGTCTCTCTCCTGTCAAAGGGGCTGCAGGAAATCCACTTTTCCGCCTGGGGATGATGAGGTCACCACCTCTTTTTCTCGTCGTTCTCTCTCGTCCGCTCCCTCTCGTAACTGATTAGCTTAACCTAACCACCCGCCACCCCGTCCATCGCGCGCCCACGAGACGCAAGCGAAGAGGAGGCCGACGAAGACGAACACTGATCTACCTCTGCTTTGCTCTGCCCTGCTCCAACTACTGCGCCGTGACCTGTCTGTACCTGCGTCTGCTGCTAGGCCAGCTTGGTGGTCATCCTGGCTCCTCTGCGCGCCATGTCACCTCACGCGGCGCATGGCCGCGATCGTTTCCTCAAGCAGTCCATCGGCTCGCTCGTCCCAAAAGTCCATGAGGTATGAAATATCTCGTCTCTACGTGGCCATTGACCGTTTGTGTTACTGACAAGTTGTTTGTCGCTTCTGGCAGAGCCGTGTGCTGCTTGTTGGTGCTGGAGGCATCGGCTGCGAGCTCCTCAAGAACCTCCTCCTCTCTGGCTTCGGCACCATCCACATCATCGATCTGGATACAATCGACCTCTCAAACTTGAATCGGCAGTTTCTCTTCCGCCACGAGCATATCAAGAAGCCCAAGGCTCTCGTACGTCTCTCGATGCATCTAATATGATAGGGATGTTCGGTTCACTGGGCTAACCTCGCACTCTTCCTTGACATCACTTAGGTCGCAAAAGAAGTCGCTCAGAAGTTCAGGCCTCAGTCGATTATCGAAGCATACCATGCCAACATCAAGGAAAGTCGCTTCAATGTCGACTGGTTCGCATCCTTTGATCTCGTCTTCAACGCACTAGACAACCTCGATGCGAGGAGACATGTCAACCGGATGTGTCTAGCGGCAAACGTCCCTCTGATAGAGAGCGGCACTACCGGTTACAATGGCCAGGTCCAGGTCATCAAGAAGGGCCGGACAGAATGTTACGATTGCACGAACAAGCCTGTGCCCAAGTCATTCCCCGTCTGCACCATAAGGAGCACCCCCAGTCAGCCCATCCATTGCATCGTCTGGGCAAAGAGCTACCTATTCCCGTGGGTTTATCCAGCCATTTCCCCTTCCTCGCTTGTAACTGAATTGCAACTGACTTTTTTCTGGCTTTTCCAGCGAACTTTTTGGAACGAGCGAAGATGATGTCGAGCTTGATCATACAGAAGATGCTGAAAACGGTACGCCAGCGCCAGCCCTGTCTTCTAAGAATTTTCATGCGACTAACGAGGTAAAAATTAAGCCGGTGAAATCGAAAATCTACGACAGGAAGCCAAGGCTCTAAAGGAGATCCGGAACTCCATGCCTTCAGATGAGTTTACTGAAAAAGTGTTCGAAAAGGTCTTCCACAAAGACATTGTGCGCCTACAAGCCGTCGAAGAGATGTGGAAGTCAAGGCCAAAGCCAAATCCGCTCTCCTACAGCTCCCTATCCGAGGAATCTAAAGGAATCGACGCAAGCATTTGTTCGGACGATCAGAAAGTCTGGACCGTAGCTCAGAATTTTGTCGTCTTCAAGGACAGGTCAGTCATTGCTACATCCTAAGGTGTTGCGTGACCTTTTTTTATTTTATTTGTTTTAAAAAATAAAGTTAACCAGAAGGGCAGTATTGTGAGGTTGAAAAAGCGGCTCTTGGATGGCCAGCCCGAAACACAGGATGGAGACAAGATCATACTATCATTTGACAAGGACGATGTTGATACACTGGACTTTGTGGCTTCAAGTTCTAACTTACGTGCAGCGATCTTTGGATTGGAAGCCAAATCCAAATTTGACATCAAGCGTATGTTATGGCTCCCTCCTGATGCTCAGTTTCATTCAATACTAACCAACTCTAGAAATGGCGGGCAACATCATTCCTGCTATTGCAACTACCAATGCAATGACAGCTGCGTTGTGTGTTTTACAGGCATTCAAAGTTCTAAAGAATGATTACGATAGTGCAAAGATGGTTCGCACCCCGTTGCTTCCATTTACGTGTGTAGCTTTGCTAATGTGGTGGTCTAGGTATTCCTTGAACGATCTGGTGCTCGAGCTATTAATACTGACAGCCTCAAGCCACCAAACCCCGACTGTGCTGTCTGTGCTGTAGCTCAGAGAAAGATCTTCATTAACCCAGAGAGTGCAACCCTCAATGATCTGGTGGAAAAAGTTCTTCGGCTCGAGCTAGGCTATGGCGAGGAATTTTCAGTCAGCAACCAAATAGGGACCATCTACGATCCAGACCTGGAAGATAATCTGCCCAAAAAACTAAGCGAACTTGGCGTTGAGAAGGACAGCTTCATTACCGTTGTGGATGAAGAGGATGACAACCCTCGGGTTAACCTTGAAATCCTCGTTTCCGAACGGTCAGTTGACCAAAATAACACATTGCGGTACCAGCAACTAACATTCACTAGAACTGATGATAAATCTCCCATTTCCCTTGAGGCGTCTGACGCTGATATCCCGCGGAAACCGAAGCCGGCCGGGGAACAACAGCCTCCTGTTAACGCCCAGGAGAATGGCATCTCAGGCAAACTCAAGCGAACTGCAGACGAGGCAGGGCTTGAAGTTGTTGAAGCTCAGCCCTCAAAGAAGATAGCTAATGGGACAGAAGACTGCAACAACACTCCCACAAACCCTATTATTGTCGAGGACGACACAGGCACTATCCTTATAGACGCTGATTAATTGATCGATTGGACCGGACCCAGAACAAAAATTAGAGAAGGGAACACTAATATATCTAGGTGGTGGTGGTTTTGTTCCTCTTTCTTTTTTGTCTTATTTTTTTGCTTTCATTATTAAATATTTTACCTAACTGGATGTCTGCCCCTTCGTGCCGGCCGCATGCATCGGGCCGCGACTACATTTTGGAACCGGATAGGCGCAACTAAGACACGGCGGATTTCTTACGACTGGGACATGTGCAGAACTATCCCACGGTTTCAGACTTTGCATTTACACTGGGTTTTCTTTTCTATTCACCTCTCTTCCTCCCTTTTGTTCCACCATGTGATGCTTTATGCTCTATGATTCTTGAACTCGGAAGTCTATAACCTAGCTTTCGTATCTGTATTATGCTACATTTTCGCCGGGAGAAGAAGTTGAAGCACACGAATCGCTCCCAACGCCTCCCGGAACATCATCTCTATCTGTTACATGTCAAACAATGGTTACTATCTAAAAACTCACGCAGCACTCAGGCCTCCGTCAATATTTAGCACACAGTTATTCGCGTATTGGTTTGTGGCTACGAATACGGCAGCATCGGCGACCTCTTCAACCATCCCTAATCGCCGAAGAGGAATGGACTGGACTATATCCTTACGGAACTTTTCACTTAGTTCTATCCCAGCGTTAGTAGGGCAGTATATTACCGGAAACTGAACAAGCGCAACTCACCGTCGAGCATCTTTGTGCCGATGTACCCGGGGACTATAACGTTTGCACGGATACTCGCGCCAGAAGAAGACAAGTTCGACTCCGCGACAATGGCCCTGGTTAACGCAATCACCCCAGCCTTGGTAGACGCATATGCTGCCACGCCTGCTCCTCCTCTAGACGCATGCAAAGACGATATGTTGATGATACATTTCGACCCAGCGTAGGACGATGGCGATGCCGTTGCGTCATCATTGGACTGCTGCTTCTGTGCTCGCCGCTGACGAAGGGCCTGCCTGGTCATGCTTCGGCAAGCAAAGATAGTTCCTTGCAAGTTGGTATCCAGTATCTGAGTGATATGCTCGTCCTTTGCAGTGGGGAGAAGAGACGAGTGAGAGACCCCGGCGGCATTGACAAGAATGTCAACTTTACCCTATGACTATGTATTAGTATCCTTTATCTAGAATGTCATTCATCAAACCGGTGCTGTTAGGAAAACGAGGACACACCATAAGGCGCTTGACGTCTTCACACCAAAATTTCGGACAGCCAACGTCTCCCGTCACCAGGGAGAAGCGGTCCGAGTGGAAGATCTTAGCTGCTTCAGAGCCCTCGTCTAATGAAGTCTCAGGAATCAATTGTCTCGCAGCATCTTTGAGTCGCTGTGTATTTCGCCCAACGAGGATGATTCTCTCTGCTCCCTCAAGCAGAAAGCGCTGTGCTATTCCAAGACCAATGCCCGATGAGCCCCCTGTAACCATACATGTTGCTCCCTTTAGACGACCCAAGGAGGGTACTGATGTAGTTGAATAACAAGAAGTCCAGCCCCGGGAGGCTATTCGGGTTGAATAGGGGTATGACCGCCGCAGCGCTTGACAGCCGGCACGATTGAAAAACATATGCTCACGTCAACCTCGTACAACCTACTTATAGCAACCTCGCTCCTATCGTGAAAGCGGTAACTTCTGGTATCTTGATATCTTGATAGTGACTGCAGTCGCAAGTAGATATTCCTGGTGCTTCCATCCTGTTGTTGTTGATTCACTGATAGACACCTGCAGCTGCAGCTGGCCTGGGCATCGGAGCCTCGGCATCGCCAACTCCGCGCCATCGACGGGCAGGCTCCAGCCCCTGGAGTCTAACCGCGAACTAGTCAGTTAACCTGCAACGCAGGATGATCCATGTTGTGCAACCAGCTAACAAACTACGGAGTACCATGTCGCTGAAAGGAAATGGCCCTGTCTCTCCAGATGGTTGGCTAGTCAGTTAAACTAGCCAAGGCTGCTGCCTGGCGGGTTGGTGCAGACTCGCCGACGAGGTGTACTGCCTCCCCGTCACCCCCGAGTATGTCTCGTTCTTTCAACCTTCCACTGCTCTCTAGTTAAAACTGTCTATATAAAAGGCACCTCGAGCGTGTTCAAGAGCGTGTATCTACTCACGCAATGGAGAAGCAAATACAGGAGCTGCTGGCTAGGGCCGAAGCGGCAGAAAGGCGCCAACAAGAAGAGCAGCGACGTCGTGAAGAGGCCGAAAGGCTCCAGCAAGAGGAACGACGGCGCCGTTTGGAGGCCGAAGCTCAGTTACAGCCTGTACCGTTACCGGTCTTCCTCCAGTCCTGTCATGAGCTGTTGCTTTCAATCGACATTGTCACTGACCCGACCAAAACAACCAAAGGCCCAGTGACAAAGCCAGCCAACCGAAGAGTGCCTTCGCGGATGTTAATATGGGATACCTTTGCCGAAGAGCAGTCCACAGTGTGGGAAAAGCTATATGAACATCCGTCATTCCTGGAAGAAAAGTTATTTCCTTCCGAGCACCAGCTTGAATATGTTCGCCAGTTCATTTCCCCAATCACTTCGGAAATGGACCTTCGGTACTTTGAACGAGAAACAGTGGAGAATCATGTTCGTATCATAATCGACCGCATCACCGAAAATGAGGATCTCAAGGCAGCCCTCGGACTGCGAGGCTCTGTCACTTTCGAAAGCCACACGAATTTGGGGGCTACAAAGAAGAAACCCGTGCAGAGAGAAGAAGCCGGAGGAACGCTAATCGACACAGCAGAAGCAGAAACTGGGCCTTCAGCAGCAGCTGCCAGTCAGGGCAGCAACAGCCAGACCAGGGATGCCATTACAAGGGGACAAGCTGACCGATTCTGCATCTATCGACAAGAGGGGGATGAACATGTGCCTGCAATCGCCATTGAGTACAAAGCACCACATAAACTCATGCAAAGTGAGATAACTACCGGTCTCACCAAAGAGATCCAGCCCGCCCGGGATGTCATCGACAAGGAGTCCGATGACTCTGAATTCTACTGCAAAAGGCTGGTTGCTGCAGTTATAACTCAGCTCTTTTCGTACATGGTACTCAAGGGGGTACGCTACGGCTACGTGTGTACCGGTGAAGCATTCATTTTTGTTTATATTCTCGACGATCCATCCTCCGTTCAATGTTCGGTTTGCACGCCAAGTAAAGATGTTAAAGGAACTGATGATAAGGACCTTCAGTCAACGGCGGTTGCGCAGGTGCTTGCATTCACAATCAAAGCGCTATCATCTCCGCCAGTTTCCCAGCAGTGGCATGATGCCATTCCAGGGCTTGACGTTTGGCCCGTGGAGTATGCCGATATCCTAGAACAGACTCCCCCTGATTCTCGCCCAAAGCGTATCTCACCTCCGTACCGTGGCAGGCGACCACGTAACCTTCCTCGCTTTAGGATGTCGCTACGGTCAAGATGCCGGCCGTCAGAAGATGAAGACCGGTCGTCAAGCTCACCCTCTCCATCTCCGTCTGCCTCTTCTTCCCGCTTAAGCTCCACTGTCCGCCGCGCACGAGCCAAAAAGAAAGCAGCCCTTCGGTCTAAGTCGAGCGGGAAATCAACTGAAACGCCCAACCAAGAGGAAACGACCAACCAAAAGCAAACGACTAAAGCGATTCAATTCCCTATTTTTGCCCCAATACCAGCTATAAAGACCCGTCCATACTGCACTCAGCAATGTCTTCTTGCACTCAGGAATGGTGGCCCCCTTGATCCCTCATGCCCTAACTACGAGGACCACCAGAACTATAAAGGCAAGATCAGACCAGGAAACTTTCGTTCCCTTATCCGTACACAGCTTGCTACGGACCGTGGCCCGGATGCAGACTGCCGTCCACTCTATAAAGCAGGTAGCTGTGGCGCCTTGTTCAAAGTGAGGCACTCATCGTCCGGCCACACCTTAGTTGCCAAAGGGGTGGAATCCTGGAATTTGCATAAGCTTAAACATGAAATGCAAATTTACAACAAGCTCAAAAGCCTACAAGGAAAGTGTATTCCGGTCTGCCTCGGTATCGTCGATCTGGTGCCAAAGTTTCCCTACTACTACGATGAAGGGATTTATACCCACATGTTATTTTTGAGCTGGGCTGGAGAGTCGATTTCCAAAGCAGGAGTAGTGCCGCAAGATGCCGATGTTTCAATCATGGTACATAACGCCCTCCAGTCCATTCACTCAAAGGGCATCCTCCATGGCGATGCAGAACCACGAAATATTCTTTGGAATCCTACCTCGCAACACGTAATGATCGTGGATTTCGAGCGATCCACTATACAGAACGCTCTTTCTGACGTGTCTGCGAACTCAGGAAGCAAAAAACGGAAGCTGGCGGATACTTGCTTTACCAAGGAGCTTCAACGGATCGAGGCAGCATTTGAAAACAAAGCTCCAAATCCACGTGCTAGGCCTCACTGATTTCCCATCAGACGGGACTTGATATAGTAAAAAGATACATATGCATCTATATAGAGACACTAGAGCATCTAGATACGAGCCAAAGAGTGACTCGGTATAAATAGTTAGCAGGACGAAGATATACCTAGTATTTGTGTTTAGAATTAGGGTTTGCCTTCCTTGTTTTGTTACTTATTTATACCCAGATAGTGTCTTATTTTTCCTTATCTGCCTATAAGATCCATATAATGGTATATGTCTGTCTTCCGTTATGCTCTTCGGAGTTTTTGTTCCTTAATTATATTGGTCGCTTTACAGCGGGTCGGCTCGCCCGCGATGCAGTTGTGTCACGTGATGCCGCCTGGCTTTGAAGGTTGTCTTTGGTGGCTGAAGGCTTCTGTGACTTCTCATTCTTGATAAACATTTGAATGGTCAGCCAATAAACCAAGAACCACCACAGCTTAACTCTGAGGAAAATGGCTACTAATCAGGAATCTCCTGCTGAATTTGTTACTCTGGCTTCTAATGATGGGTTCGAGTTTGTAATCCCGAGGAGTGCTGCCTGCGTATCAGGCACCCTTCGCAGAATGCTGGAACCGTCAAGTCAGTACCGCCATGATATCTCTCTATAGAATTTACCTATACTTCTGATATTACTGGTATATTCATGTCCTTTGGCTTGATTCTGACTCGTTCATATCTCAGGCAACTTCTCAGAAGCAGTCACAGGACGGTGCGTGCTAGAAACATTGAAGTAGGTCAACCATATGCCAACTATCGGGCCTAGAACTCTATGCATAGTGAAGACTATACCTAACCTATTCAAATTTCGATGTTTAGTGGCGTGGTACTCGAAAAGGTTTGCGAGTACCTTCTCTACAATGAACGAAATAAAGGACAGACAAATGTCCCTGACATGGACATTCCCCCTGAACTCTGCCTAGAATTGCTCATGGCTGCAGATTACCTGGATAGTCAGTTATTCCACCTTACTTTCTTGCTATGTTCTCTGAATCCTTTGAATCCAGTTATTCTAACCCATGTTATAGCATGATATTGATGGGCGTTTAGTATTTAATGCATGTTAGCGCACTGGGACCTTCTTCATTTCACTTCTTTTTTGTCTTGCGGAAGACTAAAATCCATTCGGCATTGCATTCTGTGGTCTGCCACATCGTTCAACGGAATGTCTAAGAAGAATGGATATATTAAACACCCCTTGAAATCAGTTTGGTTATATATTTCCTCTCTTTGGTTTGGATCTATATCAATGATGATGGCTGGAAGGGAACAAAAGTTAGAATCTCTTGCACATCTCATGAAGGTCATATCTCATGGGCTTATAATATACAGAGCATCAAAGGGGTATCATATACATTTAACGTAGGTTATTACACTATCCGAGAAACAGACAAGCCTTAACCTCCACTATCGCTTTTTGTTAGATGGGCGCCGGCCTCCTTTATTGCCAGGCCCAAGGTTCCGTTTCTGTGAATGTAAAGGCTCCTTCATAAACCCAGCGTCGCTGATACGCAGATAACTAACGACTCCCTGATCCACTACCGCTAGTATCACGTTTCGGTACCCATGTCGAAGACGCATATAGAGTAATCGATCCATCTTCTCGCCGCGAGGCGGGTCTTGTGGAGTACTGGCCAGAAGAGCGCTTAGATTCTCAAGCGTGGGGATAACGGGGTTCGACCGGGCATCGACAACAGCAAGTCTAAAGTCTGGTGGGCCTGGGTTGGATTTCTTATATGGCGTAGAGGGCTTATAAACATGGAAGGCTATTTTGTAAGGAGAGGATGGAGGTGTTTTGTTAATTTCATCGTCAGGGCGAGAAGGATCATATGCAGGTATAATGGATAGAGAGCGGTAGATATTATCTGAAAGAGAAGTTAGTGCTTGTTCAGGTGGCAGAATTTGTTAATGAAACGAACTGTAGCTTCGATGTATCCCTAAACCTATGACAGGTCCATGGGCGGTGTTCCCTTTCGTTCTCATGGAAAATATAGATCTGAACAGTTCTGCAAAAATACTCATAATCCCAGGAGCGGGCGTTGGTACCGGCTTCCTAGATTCTTTTTGCGTCTGAAGGTCTGGTGTGCAATCTTCTTCGTCCCAAGTCTCAGCGCGAACGACAACATAACCTCCGCGTCTCAATCCCGAGTACACTGAGAATCTTTCCATGGTCAAACCGCTACGGCCAAGGAAACACGCATATGCAGCTTGTAGGCTCATAGGAACGGTTCCCTCCAGCTCAAACGAAGAAGTCTCTGGTATTCCTTTCTTCCAGGTATCCTCTGCCGGCCACCTAATGTCCAGGCTGCCTCTCTCAAGTAAATAGAGCGCTTCTTCTGGCAGCAACCACATGCGATTCAAACTATCGGCCTGGGCCATTGTTCGGAAATGCTGCCCTTTGGGGTTGGGAACACAGACACAAGCGCCGCTCTGGAGACCATCAGGATAGTAGATACCTATTATTCGGCTTTTCGGGTTATGTAGACGTGGGTAAGAGAGAGCATTGTGCATTGCATTGCGCGCAGAAGTTAGGACATTGGCTTGGTGAAGGGTTGGGTTGGGTTCAAAGTCTTTGTCTCCCCGCCGAGGAAGTGTCTGGGGCTGTGTGGGGTCTGACAGTCTATAAGGAAATAAAAGAATCAGCGGCCTGGATCTTGATGTAAGGATACATGCGGTTGTATTTACGTAGCAAAGCTGCTCAAGAAGCGGAAATCCTGTGTTTCGTCAGAGACATCCTGATCAATATTAGCACCAGAGTCATGCGATGAGCTAGGGGGCTGGTTGATGGCCTCTTCATCCAGGTCTGCCATCTTCTTGAAGGCTCCTCGGTGGCTGTTCTTCTAACTCAGTGCCCGTTCATGACTACACTGATGTTGGAGTTCGCTAACTACCCAAGAAGAGCCGCACGGGATTTTCAAGCCAAAATCAAAGCTTATTTTCTTTTTTTTTTTCCTCCTAGCGCCCAATGCCGCTTTAATCCGACTCAGCCGAGGCTGAAGCGGCTAATTCGCGCCTGAGTCGAAGCTTCGCGTCTAAAAGTTCTGTAACTCTGCCAAGGCCGGCAGGAACGTCTCGACGATGTTGCGTTTGATGTCGACTTACTTGCCTCACACGAATCGGCTCATGATGTAGAGCAAGCGCCGTGATGTCCCAAGTTTCTGAAGGATCTGAAGTATAAGGTGAGTCTCCCACTGACCATCACCAGGCGTGGGGAGCCCTCCTTCAGACCCAAATAATGGCCACCTTGTTTCGCTGGAAGACGATGAACTGAATGCTACCCAAACACCTCGGTTTCTAAAGAAACGAGTCAAGGAGCAGACAAAGGGGCAAAGAAAACTCGCATCGCAAAAGAATTGGCAGGTAGGTGAAGAGAATGACGAGAATCTGAATGGCTGCTCGAAGCTAGTTGAGTACTCCGTACGACCGCACAATATATATATGGATATCTTCTCTAGAGACGTGATAGCTTGGCTTTAATTACTAGGCGTTGAGAGATCAAGTCTAGCCATCATCTGTCTGCGGTCTGTGGCAGGCGGATGGATCAACTCTACTGCAGAAGAGCATTCCCTCGGCAAACAACTGCGATGTAAGTATATTCTAAACTCCATTTTCTTCTGCACAACATGCGCGAGCACACCGTCTTATAAGACACCTTATCGCCGCAGTATTATTAATTAATATCGGAAGGCTCCCGTTTGAGCAGGGAGATGCAGGCGAAGGCGCTTGAGCTGGCTAAGTGTGAACGGGGTATATTGTTAGTTACTGAAGTAAAAAGTAAAGCTTAAATTTTCAACATCGCGGGGCAACAGGGGATTTCAATGAACATCACCACCTTCCTTTAATCTATATCTAGATATAATCATGCTCAGCTGTAATTGACTTTTGGAGGAATATCCTTAATTGTCTGGGTATTACTCTATGCATTTAAGCTCTATGGAATTCTGAACAAAACCCAGAAATGCCTGCGACAGACGAAGGTTCAATCAACGAAAATTTGGTCCAACAGGTACGACGCCCCCAGGAACACCCAGTTATGGATCGACACCAAGTTAAATGTTCCCTTTATTGAGACATGGTAGATTTCGAAGAATCTGGCCAACACTCGCTACACGTTCGGTGTCAGCTCGAAACAGTACCAGACGGTACTGGAAATGTTGAAGACGTCTATTGCAGACCTGGAACAGCAGAAGTTGTGTGGGCGCAAGAACGACACTTCGGATGTCGAGAATCTCATCCTTCTCTTAGAGAGAGAACTGAAAATCTGATACCGTGCGACACAAATTCGGAAGTGACCAGGACTTTTTTGACAACATCTTGATGATATCATTGCATTCATCTAATGACCACTACCGGGGATGGGAGAAAAAAAAAAAAAAACGGAGCTCTTACAATACGTTCGGTAGAATGAAGATAAATATTAGAAAAGAAAGGGGAACCCACGGCTGAAAAAATGAAGTACAGCGGTATATGGTCAGTTAATACTTAGAGTCAATGAGAGGGATCAGATGATAAACATTGCGCCCAAGGCAGCATGCATTTGAAGATGTTGAAGGTTGTTATGTAGAATTGAACCCGGATGACTTGACATAGGTGGAGCAAACCGTAGCTCATCAAGAGCCATGCAAAAGACCAGGTACCATTTGTAGATAGTCTGTACATCGCCAGGAATATTTTTGCTCCAGAAAGTATGATATAGGTACCAGAGATATCTAGTCGGGGAGATGTTGGAATGAAAATGAAAATTAGAGAAGCCTCGTCACTTACTCCAGATGAAAGTAACCAGCCACCATAAGATATTTCCCAGAAATGAATGGTTATAATGGCGAAGCCGAACTGGGGCCCCGGAATACTCATCCCGTTGAAAGCTTGGCCCAAACCAAAGCTAAACCAAGTAGCTAGGATATGATAAACCATGGCCGTTCGGTAAGGAAATGGAAGCAAGATACAGGTGGTATCCCATACCGTGAGAGATGTGAGGGAGTGTAGTATTTCATGTTAGCGGTAGGGTTAAGGCCTCGGTGGCTGCATTTGCAGCAGTCGAAATCGTCAAATGGTACCAGATGACACTCCGGCTAGAAGAAATCCTTGCTTTTCGATTTGTCTTTGTTCATGTGCTTCTCCTGTAATATGAACCGAAGCGGCTGGCTGAACCAATCGAACGGCAAGTATGCAGCTATACTTAGTATGAAATGATAACCGCGAAATTATTCGACCATCCTGGCGCCGATATCCCATGCAATAATGCGATTTTACCAGCCTTCCAGCGCCAGCAAGTTTTTGAGGAGATGAAATAAAGATTCGTTAATAGTCATCGTTAGTCGTGGGTTAGGAGAGGGCCGTAAACCGCTCAGACATGGCGAGAGTAGTAGAGAGGAGGGCGGGATGTATTTATTCTATGATAGGTTTCTTGGTATTTCCCACGATTGCGACGTTGAGATAGCGAAGGGCGTTGGGATCACTGGCGCGGACGATAGTTGGTAGTGGAAGCATGGGGTTGTCGGGATTGATGTTTCTCGCCTCGCGGGCAGCCTGCTCAATGGCCTCCATTTCCTCCTTGCAGCCAGCGTGGTCTAGAGGACAGACGACAATGGGTTGTCTTAGGACTATGTCCTTTGCTGATGTGAGATGGGCCTGTAGGATTCAGGTTAAAATGTATTACCATGAAAAAGAGGCATGGGGTTTAAGTAACATACCTTGACTGTCAAGTAATATTCTATTTTATACAGAGAGGCTGTGGTTGTAAACGCGCTGACGGCATAACTTGGGAATGCTGGTCTCCCTCGTGGTAGCACGCCGTCTGAATCACGCAAGTCTCTTGCAGGGAAAACGAGGCCGAGGTTGGTGAGGTATCCGGCTTCGGGCATCTTTAGATTGACTGACTCCGATCGCTTGGCGAGTGTTTTTCCCTTGCGAACTGGTTCGTCGCCTTCGTGGTTGTAGACTATCTCCTCGTCAATTGAAAGAGTGATTTTCTGTATTGTCACTTTGCGAGCCTTGCTCATCCAGTCCGGGTTGGGCGACAGCTTCACATATACACTGACAGGATCGAAAGGCCCATATGACCATCGAGGTAACGATATACCGAGAGTGATAAGATGATCTGACACGCGCTCTGCCGCTTCCGGTCGATTGTACATGCCAAACGTGGATAAGGTATCGTATCTCGACATGGGGACCGGGAAGGAGTACTTTCTCTGCTCTGCCTGGCCCTGTTGCACCATCACGACTAATTCGTAGTATGTCTCAGCGGTTCGGCTGCCCAGTTGCAAGCTCGCGGGTGGTAGCCGTCTCGAGGTTTCCTGTCCGCCTCTACCAAATGGTATGAAGAGGACAAAGGGGAGGTCCATGGCTATTATTTCTTCGTACTCCCGCCCCATGGGGCATCGAAAGAGGAGCATCTCCTTGCCCACGATGTCGGTCACGTCCTTTCGCGGGGCAGCCAAGTGTCTTTTCGTCATCGAATCGGCTGCGGGATGAATCGTCTCTCTTCGCTGAAGGCATATTGTGACCATGGAGATGTTGACTGCAGCTGAGACCCCAACACTGGGTCGCACTTCGACTTTTCCTTCAATACGTGGCTATCCATGCTGTGTTAGTATTCCTTCTCCTAGCAAATCAGGCCAGCAAGGCAAAAAAATATAAGATTGCGGCAAAGCTATGTAGTTTATCCCATCTGCTCAGTGCATGTATGTGTGCATCGAAATCATGGAACTGGTTCAGGGACGTAAACTCACCAGAGTTGCTGAGATTCCAGGGTACCCGACGAGGAAATTACTATTGGGAGGCCCCGACACTCGCACGAATGCGGCCATCTTGTGCCAAACTGCGCGCCCCGTCCACCATGGGTCGATTGGCGAGTGTTGTTGGGAGTCGAGACCTCTAGTATCCCGCTTTTGTTCGCCACAGGTCGAATGCCCTGGTGCGTCTCATGCATGAGCTTGTTCCCGGTAATATCCTGCGTTTGTCCGTCCCTTATCAACGCCGCACCAACGAGGAACTGGAGGGTGTTTAAAACTAACGACTTAGGCAATTAGTTAACTAGCGTCACGGTAGATCGAGGTGGAGGAATGTTCGCGAATGCAGGTGGCCTTGGAGTTCGAGCTTTTTGCTAGTCCAGGCTGGCGCAAAGATGCTGGCGGATAGTCGTTTAGCGGCGAAGCCCAAAAAAAATAATAAGAAGAAGGCAGAAAGCTACTCTGATAGTGGACTTCAGTACAAGCGTCGTAAACTATAGCGGCTCGTTTGGGGGTTGTGCTGATATTCCCTGCTATATCGACAAACTTGATATGTGCTCTGCGAGCCTTGGGTGCCCGTCAGCTAAATAACCATTAACCGCCGGGAGACAACGACCCCAGTTTCCCCAGCATGGGCTCCTGCAGCTCGTGTTGACTTTTGCTATTATTTTCGATTTTTTTTTTTTTTTTCTTTTTGTTCACCGGCTGCTGCGATAGGAAGACAAGTAGACGGAGGGAGGACAGCCAGGGCAAGGGTAGGGGCCTGGTCAACGGCGACTCCTGGTTTCGATGGCGGTGTTTAAACTCGACAGCCTCGTCACTTGAGCCTCGCTTTCTTAGGAGATGTGCCGTTTCGTCATGAAGAGGGTTTTTCTGTTCGTCTTGCTCGTCTGCAGTTCGTTATTAAGGTGATCTAGTTGGTTAACTACCTAGTTCATGACGAGAACTGGCATGTATTACGGTGTCCGGGAGGCCGGGTTTGTTGTATCGACCAGCCCAGCGTCTCTCTCGGGCCGCTCCGTGCTGTAGGATCTTTCTTCACCTCCTCTTCGCGCTTCGTCTGCTGCGCTTCGACCTTCGACCTTGATATCTCGTTTGTTTTTCTTTCTTTCTTTTCTTCTTTTGAGTCTCCAGAGGGATGTTTTTAGCCCTTGGTGATGTCACGTGATGATCATGCGGCTCTTTTGAAGAGGTTGAAAATTGCAGTTGACGACGTCGTGGGAAGCCGAAGACGCTGCAGTGAGACGAGGAAGAAGACATAGAGGGAAGAGAAGAGGCTGGTGAGCATGTCAGTTACGGTGAGCATGTCCCTTGCTCTGTTCAGTGCCAATTTGTTTCTTGGAGCGGAGCGCTGACCAGGAACCCATTACTTGATAGCTACACACTACCCACGGCGACCTCAAGGTCGAGATATTTTGTGAAGCTGTGCCAAAGACCGCAGAGGTAAGGAAGTTATACGCTTCTATAAACATTATTTCAAACTAATTAAGTGATTATTTTAGAACTTTCTTGCTCTTTGCGCCTCCGGAGCGTACAATGAAACCCCATTCCACCGTCTCATGCCCTCATTCATGATCCAAGGAGGCGACATCTCCCTCTCTGCAGCGAACAAGGCCTCCTCGTCGTCTCCCTTACCGTTTGACATTCCAAAGGGAGGAGCTTCCATATACCACCCAGCTCCGCTAGAGCAGGAGATTCACCTTCCCACTCTCCGCCACAATGCAAGAGGGATACTCAGCATGGCAGGGAAACCGGTTAAGAACCAGGGTGGTGCCGGAGGTGCAGTGCCTCAGGATATAAATGGCAGTCAATTTTTCATTACCTTTGCGGCCGCCCCTCACTTGGATGGGAAGAGTACCGTGTTTGGTAAAGTGCTAGATCCAGGTAGGACCGGCGAAGAGGGCGAGCAGGTCGACACGCTTACCCGTCTTGAAAAGGCCCATGTGAAGATAGACAAGAAAGGAAGAGTTGTGCAGCCGGAGTCGATCAAGGACAAGTCTGAGAGCGATAATACTCAAGCATGGGAGAAGATAGGTATCGATAGAGTCACTATCCATGCAAATCCCTTTGCTCGCTGATAGGACTTGGACATTATCCAATGCAAATAAACAAATATGCAAGGATACATTTGTCCTCTCGCGCGCTCTCATTAAATACTACCTAGGCCATCTTGGTGGTTACTTAAGGAGCGTCACCAGGGATCAATTCGTTGACATCTTCAAAGGCGGAGCAACTGCGGAGACCACGACCTCGACTCATGGCAATACATTCAAACTCTAACATAGAGAATTATTTCTATCAAAGGCCTCCTGCTGGCAGATTTGACACCCTATTACTTGAAGGAATGTTCACGGGCTGATTTGACTCAAATGAGATTTTCTGCACCGGTCGACTGCATTATACCTCTAGTGTGACCTCTATCAGAAATCAGAGACCTCTGCAAGTTTCTGTAAAAAGGACAATGACAGCCGCCCAGGCTGACCAAAGAATGACCAGTATCAGAAAAAAAAAAAAAAAAAAAAACAATAGCTTTTCGATCCCCCGATTCTATACTATGAAAAGTAGGTCTCTGAAAATCAAGCGCTGCCCGTCATTTGCCGCGTGTCTCGTTAAAAAAAGGTGATTGAAAAAAAATAAAACAACACTCCGATGCATGCGCCAACTTTTGATGGAAAAATAAAATTTAAGCTGCTTCCTCTGCCGCTTTTGCTGCCTTCTCCGCTTCTTGTGCAAGTCTATGCTCTTCTTCATACCCCTCAGTCTTCATGTCCTTAAGACCAAGATCTTCTTCCTCTTCTTCGGTACGGGTATATTCTTCCTCCTCCAGTTGTGGGTCTGGTTCTGGTACGAAAAGATTCTGGACATAGCTGTTTGCACAGGGATCTTCGAGGGTGATAGAAAATTTTTGCTCTCCCTTGATAGCGGCGTCGAGCTTGTCAAAAAATTGCTGCCATCGATCCTTCTCTGGTACAGGCATGGAGTCACCTGGGGCCAGGTCCTCATCGCCAAAATCGAAGATCTGTTCGTGCAGCTGGTCACGAATTTGCGTAAGCAGACCCTCGACGGTAGTGAATCTGCCGCCAAGTGTGCCAGGTTGGACAGAGAGACCAAGGTCGTCGCTCTTCAGGACACAAGTCTCAGATTTGAGGATATCTCTAGACAGATCTTCAATGGACTCCACTTGCAGCTTAATTCGCTTTCCTTTATCAGGGATGGCACCTCCGGTCTTGACGTCGCTCGTGCGGTAGCCACAATGGTCGCAGACAGTGCTCCATATGAACACTTCC